GGCCCTAGGCTGAGCGCTTTCCAGGGGCTGACTCCCTTGGTATTCATAGCGTGGTATGAGTTAGGATGCTCGTCAGCTCCATTTCCCAAGAAGGAGCATCAAAGTCCAGAGCAAGTGGGTGACCTGTGTTTGAAGTCTCGTCTTCATTCCTCCCCTCTCAGCTGGTTCTGTTGGAGCTCAATTTCCTGCCAACCACAGGGACCAAACTGACCAAACAACAGCTCATTCTGGCCCGTGAGTGTCACTGGTTGGTGGAGGGTGACGGGGGTTGGGGGGTGGGGGGAGCCAGGACGGTAATGGTAAGAATGAGATAGTGACGATCCCAGGAGGAATTCCAGTCACCACCTCAAAGCCACCCCCTTACCAACAGGTGACATACTGGAGATCGGGGCCCAGTGGAGCATCCTATGCAAGGACATCCCCTCCTTCGAGCGCTACATGGCCCAGCTCAAATGCTACTACTTTGATTACAAGTGAGGTTGGGCCCTCCGGGGAGGGGCTGGAGTCGGGTGGTTACTTGGTTCATTTACCTCTGACTCCCTCCTGTTGGCGTTTCTCCTGGGAACCGTTGCTATTCTTAGCTCTGTCCCCAGAAGCTGGAGGGACAGGGGATTGCCTTGAAAGTCTTGACCTATGTTTATGTAGTCTACTTGGTTTGTGTGGTCATTTCTGTAAGTTTCTAACCGGTTTTCCTTTTTCTTAAAGATTTATTTCTGTATTTTAATGTATATGGGTGTCTGCACATCAGAGGAGGGCATCGGATCCTGTTATAGACGATTGTGAGCCCCCAAGTGGATGCTGGGAGTTGAACTCAGGACCTCTGCAAGTGCTTTTATATCTGGTCCTCACACTATGTTCCCTCTACGCAGTTGGCTACTTGTTACCCTTCAGCTACGAGGTGGTATTCTTGGCTCCACCAACTGATGTATCTATAGTAGCCAATTGAATGCTATTTTGCTCTGTTTGCTGGTTCTTTTGTTTTGAGACAGAGTTCAAGGCAATCCCCTTGCCTTTGGGTGGAGAGTATAAGTAGTGCTGCCCTCTGCTGGTTTGTTTTGAGACAGGGTTTCTCTGTGTAGCCCTGGCTGTCCTGGAACAGAGATCCACCTGCCTCTGCCTCCCAAATGCTGGGATTAAAGGCATGCGCCCCCATTGCCCCGCTTGTTTTTGACTTTTTGCTATATAGTTCAAGCTGTCCTTAAATTTATTGTCATCCTGCCTCCCGAGTGCTGGCATTAAAGGCATGGGCCACCACACCCAGCTGTTGTTTTTTTGAAGTCTGTGTCTCCTGTTCCCTAGGCTGACTGAGAACTCAGTGTGTAGCCCAGGGTGATCTTGAACTTCTGATACTTCTGTCTTTACCTCCAATAGCTGGGATTATAGGTGGGCACCCCCATGTCTGGTTTATGTAGTTCTGGGGATGGAACCCAAGGTGTTGTTCATGCTAGGTCAACATTCTATTTACTGAGTTCCTAACCTTGGGATGCTATTCTTATGACTTTATACCTAGGTTAGGCCATTTAATTAACTATATTTAAGGAACCTGCGTTTGTGGTGTGGCTATTAGTGACACCTGTTTAACATGGGGAACTATGTTGAGTCACTATGAATTGAGGTACCTTGCTTGGTCCATATGACTTGTGGTTTTTCTAGCCTCTCTGTACGTCACTTGTCTGAAGTCCCACACGTAGTTGGGAGGACTCTGGAAGATAGATGAGGCTCGTGGCTAGGTCCCCAGGACCTGCTGACCTTAGTTCCCCCTCCGTGGCTTACAGGGAACAGCTTCCTGAGTCAGCCTACATGCACCAGCTCCTGGGCCTCAACCTCCTCTTCCTGCTATCCCAGAATCGAGTAGCTGAATTCCACACAGAATTAGAACGCTTGCCTGCCAAGGACATCCAGACCAATGTCTACATCAAGCACCCTGTGTCCCTCGAGCAAGTAAGGCTGGGCAGGGAAGGGAGAGCCTAGCTGGGGTGGGTGGCGTTGGTCAACACTTTGAGGAAAGTTTCCTGGAGGAGTTATCAGGGTTCAATCATTTTCAACCCACCAACTCATTTAACCAGCAAATAAAAACAGATATGTGCCAGGCACCAGGGAGGTTTTCTCGTTCGGTGAATCAAACAAGTAAAACCCCTAATCTTGAGACAGTGAGGGGAGGAAGCATTAGGTGCCAGAAGAATGAATCACCTGTGTGGTGTGTAAGACAGGAAGTGTTATGGAGACCAGGGCCTGGGAGGGGTCAGTGAGGATCTGACAGAGGCTCTCTGTGTCTTGAGGCTAAAACCTGCCTGTCATATCTGAGGGACAACAAAGAAGGTACAGGAGCAAGGGGCTACGGCTAGGGTAGAGTCTTGGGAGCTGTTAGGGAGTTGTGTCTGGTCCTGAGGCCTCCAGAGGATTTACTGTGGGGTGGGGTGAAAGAGTATCAGGTAGGAGCAGCAGTTCAGATGTGTGTGGAGTGGGAGCTGGGCTCATAACTGGAGAAAAGATGGTTGGCTGCCAGCCCAGAGTAGGCTGCCAGGTGAGTGTGTAAGCCAGGTAGGGTTTCTTAGAAGCGGAGGAACCCAATCTACTGGGCATGGGTGGACTGTGTGGCAGGATGTTGTGGTAGAGCAGGGGTTGGGAGGCACCAAGGGCACAGGGAAGCCCTGTGCTCCCTTATCCTTTTCCTCCTCTTTCTTGGCCTTGGCAGTACCTGATGGAGGGTAGCTACAACAAGGTGTTCCTGGCCAAGGGAAACATCCCTGCCGAAAGCTATACTTTCTTCATTGACATCCTGCTGGATACTATCAGGTATGTATGTGGGTGCTGGGTCCCCAGAATTCCTAGCCTTGCTCTTTCCCCAGATGCTACCCTGCCCAATTCCTGGGATTTGATGACTTGGTGTTTTTCAAAGTGGATTTTTTTTTTCCTGCTTCTGAGAGTTGAATTAAAGCCTTATGCAGACTAAGCGAGCACTCTGCCGCTGAGCTGCACTCCCAGGCATGGTACCTTTTTTGGAAGGTAGGGCACTTGAGAAAAGGTTTCCGTATAACCAAGACTGGCCATGAACTGATCCTCCTGCCTTACCTCTCAAGTGCTGGGAGTACAGGCATGCTAGATGAGCACTCTTCATTCATGCAAGAACCTCCTCCAGACTGAAGAAGAGGCCCATGCCTGCTTGTGACTGGTCAAGTTAGTTCCCTCTTTCTAAGCCCTCGGTGCTGGAGTCAGTCCCAGCAGGACAGGGTCTGGAGGTTGTCTGCTCCGCCATGAGAACTGTCACCTTCCCACAGGGATGAAATCGCAGGATGCATCGAGAAGGCCTATGAGAAAATCCTTTTCGCTGAGGCTACCCGGATTCTCTTCTTCAACACACCCAAGAAGATGACAGACTACGCCAAGAAGGTTGTGGATTGGAGTTGGGGAATGGAGGGTGCTGTACTCTTCTCAACGGTGTTAGTGCACAGTGCGAGTAGTCTGGGAGAAACTGGGAGATTCAAGTCTGCTCATGATTAAATCTAGTTATGAGACCTCAGCCTCTCTTGAGCTTGCTGGCCTTTCCATAGAAGGGACTAGAGTTTGACATATGTGTGGAGCTTAGCGTGGCGCCTGGCACCAGGTCCAAGGATGCTCTGCATGTTAGGTTAACAAAATTCCTTAGAAGCAGCTTGTCCCATAAGACTGCTTCATTTGGTGGGAACATTTGAGTAGGAGCAGTGCCCCAGGAAATGCTGACTGCATCCTGACCTTGGTGTCCAGGAACTGAAGAGTCAAGAGCAGACTGGGAAGATGTCAGGCCAGCCTAGTGGTCCAAGACATTCTGGGATGGGTTTGAGGTGTGCTGACGGTGACAGCTGTTAACTACTTCTTGTGGACCAAATACTGTTTTCATTGCTCAGAGGCATTAACTGAGTCGTGGTAGACCTATAGAGGAGCATGATTATGGTACCCATCTCAAACATGGAGGGGTGACATTTCTTGCCTCCAGTTAATTTGGTGGCAGTGATCTGTGAAGGAGCTGTGGCATACCAAGAGGTATGCCACATGGGGTGGGGAGCAGTCTCTGGGATCACCCTCTTATTTCTGATTTCTCTTCCTTTAGCGAGGTTGGGTCCTGGGCCCTAACAACTACTACAGTTTTGCCAGTCAGCAGCAGAAGCCAGAAGACACCACCATCCCCTCCACTGAGCTGGCCAAACAGGTCATCGAGTATGCCCGGCAGCTGGAGATGATTGTCTGAGCCTCGGCCAGGATGGGTGGACATGACTAGTCCAATAAACCCAGTATAGGTAGCCTTCAATAAAGGCGGATTAACCTTTTATGGGCCCTAATCTCCCAGTGGGACCGTGGGAAATAGTTGCTCCTGGAGAATTTGGGAGTTTGGGGACCAGGGTATGTGTTATCCAGCGGCCGTTGCTCTGGGTTTTACATGTCGATGCTCAGTGGCGCCAGCTATGGATACACTGTGGCGCTGGGCCAGGGGACTAGATTTTCAGTGAAGTACCATGTGTCTCAATTTAAAAAATGTTGGCCATGGATTAAATAATTTTTCAAATGATACGTGAAACTGACCTTGTCTGTGGGTTGCCATTTGTGCCCTCTGCAATAAATGGTATGGGCTGTGATGTGGGTATGACCAATCTGGCCTCCTTGAGCCAACATTGTAATGTAGACCCTGCTGGGTGGCCCACTAGCCTGCTTCCTGCTTTGAAGTCCTTGGAAAACTGTAAGGGGCAAAGTTCATGCTTTGAAGTCCTTGGAAAACTGTAAGGGGCAAAGTCCAAGTCTGGCCAAGCTACCTGCGGGGTTTTGAGAAAGCCATCCAGTTGGTTATCCTCACTGTGGCTCCCATGACCCATGACCTGGGCCAAGTGTGGCTGCTCAGTGGCATCACTGCTTTGGACCCTGTCACCTTATTTGGTATGTGCAAGAGTTGGTTCTTTGAAGGAGGCCTGGCTTTGCTCATCGCTGCACCTCAGCTTTCCCAGTGGTAACTGATAGGCAGCTAGGCAAGCTGTGTAGACTGGGTGCTTTATTGGCAAGGAAGGTGAGGCAGAGGGTGTTGGGCAGGTCACACTCAGTTGGAATGGGTGGCCTGCAAGTCGTAGTGCTCCAGTCCAGCTACTAGGGAGCCAGCCAGCTTGACGGTGGCCACCCAGGGCGGCTCACTCAGGTGGTTGGTGGGTGTGCTCAGCCTGGGAGAAGGAAGAATTGACAGGGTGTGTGTAGTCTGCTGGACTACTTCGAAGTGTCATAAGGTTTCCAAGGGCATTTGGGGCAGCAGTACATCCATGTGGAATAGGAAGGAGTATGATGAGCCCTAGCTAAGCCCCCATGGCAGGATTTTGTCCATAGCGAGGTTTAGACCTGGCAACAAAATCCAGGAGCTTAGTGTAGTAGCAAAGGTGGAGAGAGGGCCAGTGTCCCCTGATGGGAAAGTAATCTTTGTAGGCAAAGGTCCACCCTCTAGTTGCAAAGCCTTGGGCCCGGGGTTGGTGAGTAGGGGGTTGGGATAAGGTATGGAAGGTGAGGGTCTCACTGGGCCCAGAAAAGTTGGGGGCCTATTACTTCACCCTCAGGTTCTAAAAAGACAGTTGCTTCATTCCCCCATCTCTGAAAAACCTTGGGGTTGGTCCTTAGTGCTCTTGGGGACGGGGTTAAGGCAGAATAGGGTCAGACCAACAGGAAGGTTGTGGAATTGACTAAGGATCAAGGGGTTGAGCAAAAGGCCAATCAAAAAGGTCGGCTCCTGAGGCTCAGCTAGGCTGAGACCCACATAAGTCAAGGGCCAGCCTATGGTCAGGATGCCAAAGCGTTGAATCTTATTCTATCCAGGGAAAATGGGTGCTGGACTTGGGTGTGTGCCCTCCACTCCTCGATCTCCCTCACCAGGCAGACACGTTGCGAGGCAGGCGTCGGTGACGGGGTTGATGGCGGCAGTAGCACTTGCAGGGGCAAGAATTAAGCACCTCGAAAGGCGGCCAGTGGCGCACTGCACCCTTGTTAGGGGCGCCGGCTGTGGAGGTTCCGCTGCTGCTACCTCCACCCGCTCTGTTACTGTCAGTCACCGGAGTTGAAGTCAGTTCTCGAGGACCATCTCCAGATATAACCTCTTCACGGATCACACTCCGAGCCGCTCGGGGACCTTTGTTCTTGCGTGTACGAATCTTGATGGGTTGAGGCACTGGCGGTGACGGCTCAGCAGAGGGAGTTGCTGGAGCTGGGGTTGGAGCCGGAACAGGGGCCGGGAGCGGGGGCGGGACCTGGGCGGCAGCCGCGGTAGCCGGCAGTGAGGGGGGAGGGGTGGGAGCCAAAGCTGACTCCTCGTGGCCAGGGCCTGGGGTAGGCGGACGGGCCACCGGTATCGGCGTCCTCGGGAGCGCTGGTGGCTGTGGTGTGGGTGGCGGCGCCGGTGGCGGAGTGGTTGGTGGTGTGGGTTGTGGCGGTGGCAACAGAGGTATTTGCTGCGGACCTGGAGGCACTGAGTGTACAGGGTCGCTATTGGTGGGCGCTGGGAAGATGAACATGGGTGGCGCCAGCAAGGCAGGTGAGGGTCTCCGGGGCCCTGAAGCTGGATGCGTCTGACCTGACCTTGGTGGAGGGGAGCCCCATGGCCCTGAGAGTGTGGTTGTGCGCCTTCGGGGTGCCCCGATTCCCCCTGCAGCCCCGTTGAATCGGAAGTGCCGTTCAGTGCCATCGGGAGGGCTCACCCAGTCGAATTTGGGCTTTGAACCTGGGAAGGTGGTGTTGTAAGGGGGTGGTTGTAGAGCCCGGGCAAGGGGAGCAGGAGCCGAAGGAGCCGAAGGGGGACCAGAACACCCTTCGCCATCTCCATCACCGCCCTCGGTTTCCTGAGCTGCACGAGGAACCTCTCCCATGGGACGAGTGGCTCCAGGAGGTTGGGGCCCTTGCTTCAGGACCTCAGCATAAGAGATGGCCCCCGACGAGGCAAACAGTCCTCCGCCACTGCCGGTCCCAGCTGAGGGTTTGGCTGCTAAGGGGACCGAGGCCGATGAGGGGGACAAGTGGGGCCCGGACTTGAAGGTGACTTTACACAGCAGACTCAGGCCGGACTCGGAAGTAGCAGACCGAGTCATTTCGCCCTCTCCGACTTGGGGCGGCGCCCCTCCGCGGGCTCCCCCGGCCGCCTGACCCTCGCTGCTATGCCTGACCTGGCTTTCTGTGGGGCTTGTGGCCGACGAGGCCAGAGTGATTCTCCGGCTAGGGGGCTGCGGGTCGCAAGGCGGTGCTGGTGCTGGCGGTAGCTGCTTCCGAGGCTCTAGGAGCGTCGGAGGTGGGGCTGGGGCCTTCGGGACCGGTTCTTTCTCGGTCAGTTGCCGGGGCAGCGGGCGGAGGCTCGGAGGGTCACCCTGACCACGATGGCTCGCCTCCAATAGGCCGCGGATCCGAGGCACTGCAGTGCCCTTGGGTTTTCGCCACTTAGATGGCGCGGGCAGCAGGGACCCCACAGGGGGCGGGGGTGGTGTGGAGACCGCCGCCGTAGCCGCCTCCTCTAGAGGGGGTGTCACTGGTGAGGGCAGTTCTAAGGGCAGGGGCAGGGGCGAGGGTGAGGCCTGGGGCTCCGAGGGTATCAGGAGTCCCGGGGGCCCGGAACTGCCAGGGAACCAGACGCCCAGCCCTCGAGCCAGGCGCATGGCTGGGGATGAGGGGGTCACCTCGGGCTCCACCAGAGGCGTCCTGCGTGAGTCGGATGCGCGGTCTGAGGCCTGCTCTTTACGGGAGCCCCCGCCTGCGGAAGGCTCCGACTGCACGTTCCCCATTTTCGACGGAGGTCGGAGACTGTGGTTAAATAAACTTCCACCAGTCAGTCGGCGGGTTCTGCGGGGACTCCAAGGCTCAGGCTGTTCTCGGACTGTCCCTGTCTGCATTGGTGTGTCCGGTCCTCCAATATTCTCTCAGCCCTGGTCTCCAGTTCTCGGATTCGTCATGGTCACGCTCACTTCCCCATGGTCTCAAAAACGGTTCACTCTTCGAACCCAACTTCTTTACGTACTAAGGTGCCAACCCTGACTATTTGATTGCTTAGATCACATCCCTAACACTTTAGCCACGCCCGGGATTTCAAGGCTTCAGGGGTCAGTTCTCGCCAGCCTCTTTGTTGGGTTTTAAACCACACCGGTAATGATGGTTATGCCCAGTAGCCAACAAGGAATTCAGGTTTCTATCCTAACTAACACTCTAACCAAGTCCTTACGGCCTAAGCCCCGCCCCCGATTGTCAAAGAATCGGTCGCATCCTCACCCCGCCCCCACCCGCGTCAGGTCTGCTTCTGCCTAACAAATACAAGGGACTGTAGTCTAACTAATCCCCCAGTCCTTCAGTCCTAACCCTCCGATCACCCACCGTCTCTCTCTGTCGATCATTTGGATCCCTCCCTCTTCTCAGACAGCAGCAAATCCTCAAGTCTAAACTTTTCCCGCTCGGCGTTTGTGACAGCTCTTAACTTAGGCTCCACCCCTTTCCCTCAAGCTCCGCCCCGGCTCCTTCGCTCAGTAGACCCCACTCACCGACTCCTACAGCCGGCCAAAGATCAGACCACCGCCCCGTGGACCACGACAGGGCGGGGAACGGCCGTAGCAGAAAATAACCGAAAAGAACGAGTGTGCGGGTGAAGGCAAGTGGGCGAGACAGCGAGGACGACCCCCAAGATCTAGGCCCCGCCCCGAGCTCGAGGCACGCCCCCGTGGGCCAGCTTAGCTTGAGCGCTGTCCTTCGCACCTAGATCACCCTTAGAAACACTAGGGTGTCTTCCCGACGTGCAGGCCCCTTTGCTTTATGCCCCACCCCTTTATAATGCCCCGCCCCTCTCCTTTAAATACCTCCCCCCGGACCCCGCCCATTGCGAACACTGCTACGTGGCTCCTCCTTTTAGGCCTCATATCTGACCTGCCCCTTAGGAAATTTATCTCCTAGATCCGCCTTGCTCAGTCTAGGCTGCATCTCTTTCCAAGACCCTGTCTTCACTCGGATGGCTCAGAAGGCCCACCCTTCCGCCCCTTTCGTGACGCACCCTCTCCGTTCCTTCAGCGCCCAAGCCTCCTCCTCACTCAAGCTCCCAGGCCCCGCCTCTTTTCGAACCCTGCCAGGCATCCCGCCCCTCCCATTCAAAGCCCAGACCGTGGACCACCTTCTTTCTAGAATCCGGAGATCAGGCCCTATCTCTGTTCCCTTCTCTCATCATCAGGGACCAACCGTTAAGATAAGTGGAAAAGTGGGGGATTCCCCTCTGGATCCTTAGAAAATGGGGGCTATAAGAGGTGTTCGTTATAGCCCGAGCCGGGCTCTAGGACCCAGCGGGCAAGTACGCCCGCTTTGCTCCTACCCCTCCCCCAAGCCGCCCCCTCCCCCCCACGTCTTCCAGGTTCCCCCTTCCTCCCTCCCTCGCCCCGACTCCCGGTGCCCGTCTCCAGCGCCGCCGGAACCAGCGAGGGAGCGGGAGCGAACAGGAGGAGGAGGAGGAGGAGGCCGCGTCGCCGCCGCTCGGAGCCCGGCCGGAGCCTCCCAGGCAGGTGCCCAGAGCGGCGAGGGGGCGGGGGGGCTGACGAGACCGCCTGCCCGGGTGAGGGGACAGCTAGGACTGCAGCTGCACCCCTCTGCCCACCCTTGCTCCCCGCGGATACAAGCTGGGAGAACAAGAGGGGTGGGGGCCCCAATCTACGCGGTAGCCATTTAGGGTACCAGTTTCCATTTGGGGGTCCTGGACTTCTTCCGAGGATGCCCCATTCACAAAATTCCATCGTGGACCCTCGCCATTGAGGAACTCTGAGGACTACTCTTCCTGGGAAAATAGATGTGTGGGAACGTAGGACACCCCGAGATCTCAGTGCCCCATCTCAACTAGGCCTTTGCGGGGGGACCCCTGCCCTCTTTCCCTGCTTCACCTGTTGTTGGGGGAGGCGGGCGGACAAAGGAAGCAGTGTCACGTGACTGCTCATTCACAAAATCCCATCCCATTGAGAAAAGGGGGCTGGGGGCGCTGTGGCCGCCCCTTCCCCTCCTGAAAGGCTGGGGAAACCCGGCAGCCTGTAGGTGGGGGAGGGGGCTAGAACTCGTTGCCTGGGTCCTTAAGGTTGGGACTCCAGGGTCCCTGAGCTGAGGGGCAGTGGGGCTAGGTGCTAATTCTGATTGCTGGGCGGAGGGCTAGATCCCCTAAGCTGGGGGCGGGGTAAAATGTTTCTGAAGGATTGGGGAGGATGGTGGGGGGGAATGGATCGTTATCTCCCCCTCCCATCTGTCTTCTTTGGCGTCCCTTAACTGAGACCAAAGGGAGCAACCTTGATTTTTGTGAATGAAATGCTCTTTGGATCTTTTCGGTAGCCGGTTGCTGGCTTCCTCTGCCTCCATCTCCTTCTCGGCCTCTCTTTCTGGCCATTTCTGGTTCTCTCTCTGCTCCCTGCCCATCTCCCGGTTGCTGGGTGACTCAGTGAGCTTTGCATCCGGTCTCATTCATAAATCCGGGAAAGGGTGGGGGGAAAGAGCCAAGGTTTCTCACCCAGCTAGTGGCCTGGGTGACTGGGGTGCGGAGGCAGTGTTGGGGGCACTGAAGCTGAGTTGATGGGTCCAGAGAAAATAGATGTGCGCAGGAACCCAGCTGTGAGGGGGACAATGGGTGGGGCTATGGGTTTGTGATGAGCGAGAGGGAAGGATACTGGGGTTGAGGGGAGAAGCAGTAGGGGGAGGGGAAGTGGCAAATCCAGGCTATGAGGGTGGGGATGGGGGAAGATGCTGAAAAGGTGGGAATGGTGAAAAAAAGGTAGATACGGAAAAGGTAGGTGGGCAAGATGTCACCAAGAAGAAAGTGGGCAAGGGGTGGAGGTACTGATGGCTTGAGGGTGAGGTAAATTCAGAGGTAGGAGATAAAGAAGAGAGCAGGGTTAGAGGAACGCTAACATCGGGAGGAAGATTTGAGTTCACGGCCTGTGTTGCCCCTGTCCTCCTCACCTCCTCCAGGTACATGGTGCGGGTCCGAGCCGTGGTGATGGCCCGAGATGACTCCAGTGGGGGCTGGCTGCCTGTGGGGGGCGGGGGCCTCAGCCAGGTGAGCGTTTGTCGGGTCCGAGGGGCCAGGCCCGAGGGGGGGGGCCCGCCAGGGGCACTACGTCATCCACGGGGAGCGGCTTCGGGACCAGAAAGTGAGCCACCCTGGGGTGTGGGAATGGGATGAACCCTGGGGAAAGAGGGAAGGGTCTGGGAAGGGGGGGGCAAGGAGAGATCACTTTGTCCCTCTACCACTGGGATTCAAAGTGGGCCTTGGGATGGGTTTTGGAATGAATACCTGGTTTGTGAATTAAGAGCTGGAATTTGGGGGTGGGATAGGGTATTGGGAAACTTGTGTCCACTGCTTCTCTGGCTATTCTGTCACACAGCTACTTCGGTAGTGGCCTTCCTGCCCTGTTCCTGCTTCTCCTCCAACCTTGGTCTGTCCACAACGACCCAGCTCACACCCTGTCCCTTCTCTGCTCAGAACCCTCTTCTGGCTCCATCTTGTTCAGAGATGCCCTCCTACCAACTGGCCCTTGTCTGCCCTAAGTATCTGGAGGCATTTGTGGGGTCTGCTTAGAAGTGTCACATATGGTTGACAGTTCTATGTCACATGCTCGAATCCCAGTACTAGGGACACTGTGGCAGGAGGATTGTGAAGTTACAGGACAACCTGGGCTAGGTTGTGAAACCCTTTTTTCAAAAGGAAAGCTTGGGTAAGGGATGCATTGCAAAGCAGAGCAGAAACAGTGTAGAGGAGTGTTGGTATCAGACAAGGCCGTGGAGGAAACATCCAGGGGTGGTGAGCATCGAGTGGTTAGAAGGTTGATATCTCTGTGTAGAAGGTTAGAATCTCTGGGCCAGTTTCCAGGGGATTATTGAGGCATCAGAAGGGAACTGGTTATAATATTTTGATACATTCAGTAAAGTGTGAATAATGCTTTTTCTTCCATCAGAACAGGACATGTTAGGTTATGAGAAAAGGTTAATTTTTTTAAACATTTAATAAGATTTGAGGTTCCTACTGGGACATCAGAGGAAGAAATTAAATAAGTATAGAAATCAAAGGATTGAGGGGATATTGCAGAATCAGAGACATGTCCCCTCCGATTAGGGTAGTTAGTTTGTGTTTAGGCACACCTGCTGTTGTGAATGAAGTAGTTGGGGTTGAAGGTCACAGGCATGACTAGGGTGGTGTGACCTAGTCCCTTCCCGCCCCTCAGATCACCTTGGAGTGTACCCTGAGGCCAGGTTTGGTTTACAACAAAGTGAACCCTATCTTCCACCACTGGAGCCTGGGTGACTGCAAGTTTGGGCTGACGTTTCAGAGTCCTGCTGAGGCCGATGAATTCCAGAAGGGTCTTCTAGCTGCGCTGGCTGCACTCAGCCGAGGTCAGTGGTGTAGGCACAGATGCTCAGGCTGGGGAACAGACATAGGAGAAGCTGGGGTCTGGGGACTCACTTCTGCCTCTCTCCCTGTTCTAGGCTCACTCACTCCCTCCTCTTCCTCTTCCTCCTCCTCCCCTTCCCAGGACACTGCAGAGACCCCCTGCCCTCTGACGGTGAGTCTTGGGGTCTGCCATGGGTGTGGGGGGGTGGTTCTAGTCTACAAATATTCCTGAATACTTGCTGTGGAGCTGGCAAAAGGCCACATACTGGTAACACAAAATCAGGCCCAAATTGATAGTGGCAATTCAACCATGGATGTCTTGGTTTTTCTGTTCTTTTATACGTACCTATCAATTTATTTTTAGTTAGGGTCTAATGTAGCCCAGGCCAGCCCCAAAGCTCCATATTTATCTGAGGAATGACCTTGGAGTTAGATCCCCTGAGTGCTGGGATTCCTGGTGTGTGTCACCAGTGTGGCTTGCTTGTTCGCTCCTCTTTCTTTCTGTTCTTTTCTTGGGGTGGGGTGTGGAATGGTGGCACAGGTTCTCACTCTGTGGCTTAGGCTAATCTGCAGCTTGGATCTTCTTACATGGTGGGATCACAGTGGTGCACCCTCACACCCCGGCTCAGTTTTTCTCTGTTCTTGTCATTCATACATATGTTCAAGGGTACTGAAAAACCACCAGGAAGTGTTTTAGGCACCAGGGATATTTTTATTAGCAAGCAAAACAGCAAACTTCTTTTTTTTTTTCCCTTGGTGCTTTAGTCCAATGTGAAAGACAGAGAAAAAGATAAAAGATAAGAAGCAATAAACTTTAAAATAAATGCACAGATAAATCAATTGATAATTCTTTTTTTTTTTTTTAATTTTGATACTGGGTTTCTCTGTGTAGCCTTGCCTATAGACCAGGTAGGCCTGGAACTCCTCTCCTCTGCCTCCCAGAGTGCTGGGATTAAAGGCGTGCGCCGCCACCACCTTGCTATAAATTAATAATTCTATGATCTAGTTACTGCCAAGCTGTGGGCTTGTAAACTTGGAGTCGTCCTTGATGCCGTCGTTTTTTGTTTTTCTTTGTTTGTTTTCCTTTTTAGGCAGGGCCTTGTTACACAGCCCAGGTCACGTGATCCAGGGACTGATGGTGTGGGCTCTTATGTGCCCCTGTAAAGGCTTTTTCCTTTACCTTGAGTGATGGAGCCATGGAAGGTTCTGAGTGAGGGAAGGGTGTGCTATCTGTGAACCATCAATAGAATCTCCTAGGCTCTGCTGGGGAAACTGATGGTAGGAGTCAGGAGATGGGTGAGCATGAGAAGCTGTGGCGATGGTTCTGTCAGGAGATGAAGTCAGCGTGGACCTCATGACCCATCTGTCTCCTGAGTGTGGAGCTACAGGTGTGCACCACCATGCCTGCCTGGTTCTTGTGCTTTCCTGCTTCCCAAAGAATCTGTCACAATATTGGTTCTGCTTTTTTCCTTTAAATGTGTGTGTGTGTGTGTGTGTGTGTGTGTGTGTGTGTGTGAAAGAGAGGGGGGGAAGGAAAGAGGGGAGAGAGGGAGGAGAGAGAGAGTCCTTTGCTTGCATGTATGTCTGTGCACCTACTTGTGTGTCTAGTGCAGGCACTACAGGAGGCCTGACAAGCTGTTAGCTCACCCTGGAATTGTGTTACATCAGATTGTGAGCTGCCATGTGGGAACTAGGAATCAAATCAGGATCCTCTGAAAGAGCAGCCAGTGCTTTTACCTGCTGAGCTATCTCTCTAGCCCTCTTTCTAATTCCTTTCTTCTCTCTCTCCCTGTCTCGGCATTCAAACTCAGGGTCTTGGTCATGCTAAGCAAGTACTCTACCACTGAGTGACAGCCCTAGCCCAGGTTCTACTTCCAAAATGACTAAATCTGCTTTCCACTCAATAGCGTCCAATGTCATCTCCCAACTGAATGTCTCCACAACTTCTCCTTGTCTCTGTCTCTCCTGACCCCTAGAACAAACCCACATGGGTGGGGGGTAAGGTGCTCTTAACAATAGCTGAGTCAGATCATACCCTTTCTCCGCTTAGAACCTTCCCATGACTCCTCCATTCACGGTGCCACATGACACCCATCTGGGCCTGGGCTAGCTCTCCCCTCACCCTGTTCTAGTTACACAAGACTCCTCACTCTCATTGCAACAGGGTTGACACATTCCTGTCCTGGAGCCCTTCTGTCTAGAACACTTCTTCGGATTTCCATCTGACGTTTTATCATTTCTTCTGAGGCACTCTACAAATGTCTTCTTGGTGGCTTCACTGAGCAACCTATTTAAAACTGCATTCTCAGATTGGGGATTCAGCTGCCATCTGTAATCCCAGCACTAGGGAGGTGGAGGCGGAAGGATCTAAATTCAAGGTCATCCTTGGGCTATGTTACAAGTTTGAGGTTGGCTTGGAATACATAAACCTCTTTCCCCAGCTGGACATGGTGATACATGCCTTTAATCCCAGCATTTGTGAGACAGAGGCCGGTGGATCTCTGTGGGTTTGAGGCCAACCTAGTCTACAGAGTGAGTTCTAGAACAGCCAGGGCTACATAAAGAAAACCTGTCTCAAAAACAAAACAAACCTTTGTGTGCCACCCCCCCCAACCCCGCCACCCCAAGGTCAATCTCCAATGTCCCTTATTTGGTTCTAACCCCTCTACCACCTTCTCAGACAGTTGTCTTAGCTGTCGGTTCCCTGCCTATCCTCCATGCTAGCGCATCAGCTCCAATAGGCCGAGGATCTTCTGCTAGTTCTTGCTACGCATCCAGTCCCGGAACAGTGCCTGGCGCACATTTAAGTGTTCAGTAAACGGGTTGAGTGAATTGATGAGATGATAATGAACGAGGCACAGAATGTCCAGATGCATTTGGGGAGCTGCTGAGAACACCGGGAGCAACAAAACTAGTTCCTTGGGTCAATGAAACTGTCAAGGTCATAGGGGGTGGAGGTGGCTCTCCGGCAGTCACACACGATGTCTGTCTAGGGGGTTCTTCTTCAAGGCTGGAAGCTGCAGTGACCTTTGTGCCTGGCATGCCGTGGTGCTCGGCGGCTGTAGACTGAACGGAGAAGTGCGAGTTGTGTTCAGGTTATAGGAAAGGGAGCGGAGGGCCTGAGGAGTGGGCTTGTAGCTAGTGAAGTAGGGGGCCTGGTGTGGGTGGAAGCAAGATGTCTGGGCAGGGAAAAGATCTTTTTGAACTGTAGTGAAAATGAAGCAGGAATGTACTGACTGGCCAAGGAAGAGGTGCTTTCTCCTTCAGGTTAGGGCTTCTGGGAAGGCAGAGGGTGGTGGATGGTCTGTAGGCTGGTGTTCTGAGCAGTTCATTAGGAGTTCAGGAGAAATGATACCCTTATCCAGAGTCAGGTGGCACGCAACTATCATCCCAGCTACTCCTGAGGGAAGGCAGGATGATCTAAGTTTGAGGCCTGATCTAAGTGAGACTTACTAAATAACCAAGGGTTGTGGGTGTAACAGGGTGGAATCCACCAGTGAGGGGCTGGGAGCGTGGCTAAACCCAGAGACAGCTGTTGCCTAGGAGCCCTGGTGAGGGACTGTCGAGGCTCAGTTGTAGAGGGCGCTGTAAGATAGATGTTGGGCCCTTGCGGTGTCCTAAACAAATCCTTTTGAATGAATTGTGATGACCCCCCCCCCGCCACCCCCATTTCACAGAGGAGAACTCTGAGGCTCAGACATAAGCTCACTTGCCACACAACTGGTCGGTGACAGAGCAGAGGTTTGAGCCCAGGCCTCCTGATTGCAGAGGTCTTGCTCTCCAGGGAAGGAGGGTCTATATAAGGGCTTCATCTTTGGTTGGAGAACTCCCTGAACTAAGACCCCTCCAATCTCCCTCAGTCCCATGTAGATAGCGACTCCTCCTCCAGTCACAGCCGCCAGGAAACTCCTCCCACAGCTGGCGCACCACCCATCGTCACCGTGGAGTCAACAACTGCCTTCTCACCGGCCACTCCCCCACAACAGCGCCGCTCCTCTGCTCAGGTAAGGCTTCCCTGACACTCAGCAAACCAAATAATTGTATAATCAAATAGAATTGTACTGCTCCCTAAACTGACCCTAGCTGAAACCCAACTGAAAGAGAGGGGACACAGATCTCAGGAAATGGCCAGCCTGACTTAGCTGTAGGTGGTAGTGAAACAGAGACCTGGGTTTGGGGCTGGGGGAGTAGTAGTTCAGTGTTAGAGTGCTTGTCTAGCCTGTTGTGTAGAAGGTGCTGGAGATACTGAGTTCAAGGGGCAGAAAGAAAGAAGCCTGAACTCCTGAGAGCGGGTAGACGCTTCCAAGTGTCGCTAGTCCTCTGGGAGATTCGAGGGTCGTCTAGTTCATGCAGGAACTTGAGGGAGGACATGCACAGATTTCCAAACATATTAGAAGATGCTGGAACTCATGGAAGGACTCCTTAAGACTGTTTCCTTTGTCCTGAAGGAGGGGTTGGAGGTTAAATGTGAATGAACTGAGCAATCTTAAGCCACGGGGTGCCTCCATTCATCGTCACTGAGGGCATAGGCCGGAAGTCTAAACACCGAAACCAAGAGAGTTTTGGGGGAACACAGTCCCTCTTGACTGATGCTTGTTGCTACATCCTGGGATTTTGGGTCTTCTGAACCTGGGTAACCTATGGGGATTTTGTGAGTTGATGATGTCCCTAACCTGATCTCCATGTCCCTTGGCTCTGCAGAGCTACCCTCCGCTTCTACCGTTCACTGGTATTCCAGAAGCCTCAGAGTCTCTAGCCGGGGCAGGGAGCCAGGGCTGGGGCGGCCGTGGCTATGAGGACTACCGGCGATCTGGACTACCTGCACCTCTTCCCCTGTCTACCTGCGTTGTGGGCTTCGTCAAGACTGGTGCATTGAGGGGTGCAGCCCTGGGTCCCCCAGTGTCACTTCCTGCCCCTCTCACTGAGGCTGCACCCCCAGCACCCCCTGCTCGTCCACCCCCGGGTCCGGGCCCCATCTCTGCTCCAGCCAAGGCCTCCCCTGAGGCCGAGGAGGCTGCACGTTGTGTGCACTGCCGAGCACTCTTCCGCCGCCGAGCGGATGGGCGTGGTGGCCGCTGCGCAGAGGCCCCGGACCCAGGTCGCCTGCTAGTGCGCAGGCTCAGCTGCCTGTGGTGCGCCGAGAGCTTGCTGTACCACTGCCTGTCGGACGCCGAGGGCGACTTCTCAGACCCGTGTGCTTGTGAGCCGGGCCACCCACGCCCTGCTGCACGCTGGGCCGCTCTGGCTGCACTGTCTCTGGCAGTGCCCTGCCTCTGCTGCTATGCGCCCCTGCGCGCCTGTCACTGGGTTGCAGCACGCTGTGGCTGTGCTGGCTGCGGGGGTCGTCATGAGGAGGCTGCTCGGTGAGGATCCTTGGGCTGGTTTGAAAATCGGCCTGAAGACCCAAAATGGAGGATCCAGGACCCTGAACTCCATACGAACCTAAAACCCAAATTTAGGTACGTCTGGAACTTGGAGCTTGAATGGATTTGAGAAATCCCAGATCTGGTACCTGGAAACCAAACTTAGCACTAAGATCCCATACCCAGCTTCATCAGGATGTCTGTCATGCGTACCCAGGAGTCCTGAATTCTGGATTCTCCCTCCCTCTTCCCCACTGAGGAGATTCTCCAAACATCTAAGAGGGCCCAGGAGCTCACACCCCTAAGACCCAGGGTCCTTGGACCCCGACTCTGTCTAAATACCTAACCCAGACTCCAGGTCATACTTGACATTGTAAGCACTCATATTACAGCCCCCAAATTAGTCAGGAGCTGCTAAAAACCTGACCCTTTATCAAATGACTTAGACCTTGAGACCAGAACCACCAGAAAACTGTCCCTGGATTTTCACCTGAGACCTGCTATGCCTACAACTGAATGTTCTTATAGCCCCAGGACCCGAAAACACCAAATCCTCCTGGGTTTGAGACACCAGGATGGTTTGGGCTCACCACATACTGACCTGAATTCAGTCTACCCACTCCCGAGAGTCCACTGATCTCACCATCCGTTCATGTGCAAGTGACTCAGACCCCCTCGATCCCCAGACTTAAGATGCACCAGGTCATCAGATAGCCCCAAACACGAGGTGTTTTCTGACCAAACTAACTTGGGAGGCCCTTTTCAGAGCTCAGCAAGGTCCAGATATCAGACATCAAGATGCCCTGGGAGCCAGGGCCTGAACACCTACCTGTCCCTCAAGTTTTTGAGAACTTGGGTCTCACAGATGGTCCCCTCAGATGTAAGGTTGAAGGCCACCAACACTTTGACCCCCAATGCACTGGTTTCAAGCGCTTGGATAGCCTTCCAGTTTCCTTGGGGCCTGAATTTTAAGAACCCAAATGTAGAGACATTAGTTTCCTTCTCCCTGCATTCCCCAATCCCCTTCCATCTGGGTGGGAGCTGGGATCTCAGAAGATGCGGTGGTCATGGTAACCCAGGCCTCTCATCCCTTGACTCTCAGCTCTAGAGCAATTCCAAGGTCTAAGAGCACTGGGTCTAAGACTCTGAGATACCAATCGACATCTAGGTGCAGGATTCAAACCCCCACAATCTTGATTGCTTTTGGCCTGAGACCTTGGTCCCTCTATACCAGAGACACTCAGAAACAAAATGCCCCAGGGCCTGCATCTTTAGATGCCAGATTTTCTTGAATTCAAAGCACTTCGAGACTGATGAAGCCCCTAGATACCTCACCACCGGATCCCCCTGAGTTCTGCCATCCCAAGGGCCATAAGACCGCCAAGTCCCAGCAACACCAATTGCCACTTTATCCTGGGGGGACACTTGAACCAGTGCGAATTCAGATTGCTGGAATCCTGGACCACTCAGTAGAGCCTCTAGAGCCTGGCATTGCCACAGAGGATTGTACAAAGTTGCTAAGCAGAGGCTGGCAGCTGCAGGGGTCAAGCAAGGACATCAGAGGGAGGCTTCCCCTTCTCTGCTTGGCACAACAGTACCTTTCGAGTTGGCTTTTGCTCCACAGAAGCCCCCATCACCCCTAACCTTGAAGATCTCCCTGCTGCAACCCCTAGTTTGTTCAGGTTCATCTCTTGTCAGCCTCTTCTCTCTCAGTTGGGAGTAGCTCTGGAAAGCCCAGCACCCTTCCATGGCACTCCTCATGCTTTTCTTCTGGAGAAGAGGGGGGTGTCCCACTGTACATAGGATCTGGCGTCCTAGATAGAGAAACCAAGGTCTCCCAGCCAGGACAGTCTCGATGGTTTAATGGGCTTAGGACTACATCTGGCCCTAAGTACCTGGGAATGTGCACTTACCCATTGCTCATTATCCAGGTTTGGGTGGCCTTGTGGGGACTCAAGGGATTAATATTTGTGTCACTTTCTTTAAATTATTAACTATTTATTGTATCCGGAACCTGTGATTCAGCTCTCCCAACCAGACCCTGGGATGGGTGAGAGAAATGGGGACAGGGGGTGTCCCTCCCATCCCCACTCTGTCCAGCTCTCATCACTGTCAGACCCACCAGAGCTGAGGGCGGAGGAACTGGGGACTGGGGCAGCCTGGGTCCCCCATTCCCCTCTCTGTGCCTCGGTCTCCCCCCTTCCATGGTGAGTGGGGGGAAGCTCCATTCTTAACCTACCTCGTATTGGGAAGGGGTGGGATGGGGGACCAGAGTGCTGTATGGTGCTGTGAGATCTTCTGATTAAGCAGCGGGGACTGGGGAAGGTTCCCAGGTCCCCCTCTCCCAGGTCCCCAACCCTGTTCCCTGCTGACACCCACCTCTGATCCATGATTACCTTTCATTGCCCCCATATCTGGGGTGCGTGGAGGGCTGAACCCTGGGAGCCAGGAAGACCTCAGACCCTGGAGCCCCCAATTTTCCAACTGCTTGCCCCTCAGATTGGATGCTTGCCCCCCAGAATTTGGGGGAGGCATGCCAACATTTATCTTCCTGATCTTGATTCCAAGCCAGTCTGTGACCTCAGTATTGTGTCAGCGCAGGCTGAAGCGGAGGGAGAATGGGGCCCAAAGACCCAGTCTTGGCATTGGGGGAGGGGGACTTGAGATCTGCTCCAAAAAATGTCTGTGACAGTGTCTTAGCCTGGTCTTTATTTGCATTGACGCGCCCTGTCCACTTGTTTACCAGAAATGCTGGACTTCTGTTCTTTCCTTTTACATCCTTTAGTCCCTAGTAGCTGACTATCTAGCTGGGTTTTATTTGTCCAATCATTCTACTGCGTTTACTAAACACCTAGCATGTGTCAAGCCCCATAGGTATTGGGGGTGCTGCAGCAGGCATTTGCATAAGACCCCTCAGGGGAGGGGTTTTGTGGGTGTAACAGCCAGCACTAGGCACTAAGGCAGGGATATATCTGGTAAATTTGGAGTGGAGTTAAGCAAGGGGCAATCCTGGGAGAGGGGGATGGAAAGGTGGCAGGGTGTGTCAGGCTTCTCATGACAGTGCATGGGCTTTGTTCTCTGAGCAAGTGAGATGGAGCCACAGGAAGGCTCCTGAGCATGGTGTGGATTTTCACAGCTAGTTGTAGCTGTGTGGGGAAGACCCCTGGGGAAGCCGTTCCCTGTGGAGGCTGCAGTGGTGCAGGTAATGTGAAAATAATGGATGTTTTGAATGAGTCCAGAGATTTTTTTTAAAAAAGATTTTATCTGCATTTTATGAGTGTTTGCTTGTATGTGTGCCATCTGGTTACCTGGTATCAGATTCCCTGGAACTGGAGTTGCAGCTGTTAGCCACTGTGTGGTTGCTGGGAACCCAGGTCCTCCATAAGAGCAACAAAACCTCTTACTGAGCCCATAGATTTATAGATAGAGTTTGAAACAGTGGTAGAATACATGCTTAGCATGAGCAATGGCCTGAGTTAAGGCCCCCGTGCCAAAAGAAAAAGGGGAGTCAAAGTTAGTAGTTCAAGTTTTTTGGGAGAAAGATTTAATTATTTGTGGGTACATGCGTGTGAGCTAGAGTTACAAGCGGTTGTGAGCTACCCACATGGGAACTTGTGGCCATATTCCTACGGGAACACAGCTTTAAGCCACCAGTCCTGGCTTTGAACAGATTGTGTGTGTGTGTGTGTGTGTGTGTGTGTGTGTGTGTGTTCAGGGGTGCCCCAAGAGGTCAGAAGTGCATGGTGGGTCCTCTAGTGCTAATGAGTCTCCGGGGGTCAGTGCTGGCACTAACCTCTAAAAGAGCAGCAAGTGCTCAAATCCCACTACTTTTTTGTTTTTTCCCCCCAAGACTGGGATTTCTCTGTGTAGCCCTGGCCGTCCTGGAACTCACTCTTTAGACCAGGCTGGCCTTGAACTCAGACAGATCCTCCTGCCTCTGCCTCCTGAGTGCTGGGATTAAAGGCCACTGCTGCTTGTTATTCTTTCTTAACTGAGGCTGTATTGAGGCCCACGTGACTTTTAAGCATTTTTTTTTTGCATAAGAACCAATTAATCCTCACAGATGCCTTTTAAGAGTGAGGGGCTGAGAGGTTAGGTGTGGCACAAATTTGGTAGTCCCAGACCTCAGGAGGCAGATAGAGAGGCTGGAATGATGGCTAAGTGGTTAAGAGCACTTGTTGCTCTTGCAGAAGACTTGGATTTCTTTCACAACACCCACATGAGGGTTCACTGCCATCCATAACTCCAATTTCAGAGAACTGTATTTCCGCCTTACTTTCGTGGGCACAGGGCACACATGAGGTTCACATATACACGTGCAGATAAAAACAATCATACACATAAAATAAAAAAATTTAAATTACTCGGACCCCCAATTACATAAATGGAAAACCAGTTTGGCAGGAACATGTGCTGGTTAATAGTGAAAGGCCTGCCTGCCTGCCACTCTAGGATGATGCAGTTTCTCCATGGCGCTGGTTTCTCCTTTCAAAGGTCCAGAGAGGCAGAGGTCGGATAGCACAGGAGCCCATTGTGATGGGGAAGGAGAGCCTAGCTGTAGTGGGAGGGTGTGTGTGTGAAAGTGTGCTGACATCGTTCTAACCATAGGATGGAAGAAGCTGGATGAGCTTTTCGGTCTGGGATCTAAGAGCAAAGGGCAGTCGGGCGTGGCACACGCCTGTCAACCAACACAAGGAAGGAGGAAGCAGGACCAAGAGACCAGCCTGAACTACATACATATCGAGACCCTGCCTCAAAAACAAATTAAATTTAAAAAAGGAGAGAGTGGGAAAGAAAAACAGGTTGCCGTTTTTATGTCCCCGAGAGTAGGGACACACGAGCCTCTCCTGACCTTGGGTATCCTAATCTCAAGCTGTAAAATTTACAACCCTACACAAGTTACCTGAGGGGCGCACGTGGCGGGCTACTGAGCCAATCGGAGCGCCGAAGCTCCTTCGCACGAGAATGTGATTGGATAGAGGCCGGGGGTGGGAGGAGGTGTCCTCGGGGCGGAGCCTGTCCCAGGCGGAAAGGGGTGCGCGCCTAGGATCCCCAGCCGAAGCTACCATGGATGGGGCCACAGTGACCGGCGACCTACTGACTTTGGGGTAAGGGGTTCGGCGGTGTGGCTGGGGGTACGGGAAGGACACACTCGCCCCGGGACGCGAACGCAGAGTGTCTCGCACTGACGCGCGCCCCGCCGCAGGTACGGTGCGCTCCCGGAGGTGGCGTCCAGGGGCCCCGCGTGTGCCGACTTCAGGGCGCTGTGCGCGCGGCTGGCGGCCGAGCTGACGGCTCTGGGAGCTCTGGAGCGGCGAGAGGAGGGCACCGCAGTACTGGGCGCTGGCCACGGTGCGTGAGGATCTGGGTGGACGGCGGGTGGAGCCGCGGGACTTGCCGCTCCCTTGATGGCTTCCTCCTCCCTCAGACCCGGACGCAGAAGAAGAATTCCTGCGGCAGTTGACCGGCCTGCTGCGGGCGTTGCACTGCCCGGATCGCGCGCTCTGCGGCGGAGACTGCGCCACAGTGCTGCGGGAGCCCGGCGGCGGCCTGCGCCTGCTGCGTGAGCCTGGAAGGCCCCGGGAGGCGGGAGTGGGCGGGGCCCCGGAAGTGGGCGGGTTCTGATCGGATACTGTGCCCGGGGGGCGGGGCCAAACCTTTGAGAGTCTCCTGAAGGCTGCCGGTAGGTGGGACTGGGCTGAAATTTGGACCGGTCGGGTGGTTCTGAAATGGGCTGGAGGAGGAGGAGCTACAGCCTTGAAGTGAGTGGGCTTTCTCTGGAGGGGAGGAACCAAGGTTCTAGCTGGGCTGGGATTTGTTCCTATTTTTAGGGTTTCTTTGCTCCGAGCTCCAGGCTGCCCGCCTCTTGCATCTGCGGCTCCAGCTACATGCTAGGCCTGTACAGTCCTTTGGAGAAGGGACAAAGGAGGGAAATGGCGTGGTTCAAGAGCTGATGCTAACTCTTCAAGCACTGGGGCTCCCTATACCCGTTCGTGGAACCCTGGCCAGCCAGCTACTTCGGGAGTTTCACGAGAAGGTAGAGAGACAGTCGCCTCTTGAGCTACCTTATTGGCTGGAGGCTCCTATCTTCAAAGCCATTTCTAGAATGACCCAATGACAGGGATGGTTTTAGAGCTTTGGTCGCTGTTTGTTCTAATTTGCTTTTTTGCTGTGATGTAACACTGCCCAAAAACAGTGTGAGGAAGAAAGGGTTTGTTTCCATTCACAAATTTCAGCCCATCGTTGAGGGAACTCCAGACAGGAACTGAAGTCGAGACCTTGGGGGAATACTGTTTACTAATTCATTTCTGACTTGTTCAGTTACCTTTTGTTTTGTTTGTGTGTGTGTGTAGTCCACGGCCATGTGCCCAGGAATGGCACTGCCCATAGCAGGCAAGGCACTCTTACATTAAACAGCAGTTAAGAAAATACTCCTACAGGCATGCCTACAGACCAGTCTGATGAAGCAGTTCCTCAAATTGAGATTCCCTTTTCTCAGGTCTGTCTAGATGGACAGACAAAGGCCGTTAACACCGTTGTTGCCTCTGAAGCCCTGGGTTCATGTGGCCTGGGGAGCTGGAGTACTTAATAAGGTCCATCCTGCTTGTGTCTCATTGGTTCCTGATTTCTTCCACCAGATCTCTGAGCTGCTGCCTTTCCTGCCCCCAGAGTCCATGAAGCCCCTCCTCAGCTCCCCTCTGGATGCATCACAATGGGTAAGAGCATATATAGATGCCTGTGAACAGTATCCTCACCCAGAGATGCGACCCATGCTGTAACCAAGACCTTTTCTCCTAGGAAGCCCTGGAGACCTTGTCCCAAAGCCTCACAGAACAGTACTGCTGCCGCCGCTGCCTCCTTCTGAAGCGTCTGGACCTTACGACATCTGCCTTCCACTGGGGTGACCGGGCAGAGGTGTGGGGACCTTAGCTAGAATAAGCAGGGCGTTGGGAAGCACAGCAGCAGGGTAGAGGGGCAAGGGAGAGAGACCACCTTAGAACCTTTTAAAATGTTTTTTATTTGATATGTTTTACTTACATGTATATGTGCATCATGTGTGTGCAGTATTCACAGAGGCCAGCAGAGGGTATCAGATCCCTTGGAAGCAGAGATGGAGATGGTTGTGAGCTTCCATGTGGGTACTGGGAACTGAAGCCAGGTCTTACAAAGAGCAGTGAGTTCTCTCAACTGCTGAGCAATTTCTCCAGTGCACATTTAAGGATCTTTTCTAAAGAATTTATTCATTTTTTCTTTATGTGTATGTTTTTATACATGTGTGTGTGTGCGCGCAACACGTGCATGGCTGGTGCTTGCAAGGTGAGGAAAGGGCATTGGATCTCCTGGAACTGGAATTGTGAGCCACCCTGTGGGTGCTGGGAACTGAACCCTGGTCCCCTGCAAGAGCAGTCCGTTCTCTTAACTGCCCAGCCAATTCTCCAGCCCACACTTTAGAATCTTACAGTTCAAGACTTCTTGACTCTCAGGGCCTCAAGGGCATTCTAGAATATTCTCAGCTGGGGGTGTCTTCAGAACTATTCCCCTGTGTAATAAAATGGACAGTTAAGACTATCTTAATTGTTGCCAATACAAGGTACCAGGAACTGGGTAGGAAAATTAGGTTCATTTTGGCTTATGGTTTTGGAGGCAGGTTGTGGGACTCGCATGAGTCTCCTCTAAGGTCAGGGCCCTGTGACCTTGCTATGTCACCAGAGGCCTCTCTTGCACATGGTCAGCCACTTTTAAGATTTTGTTTTTGCCTCCTAATTTGCCACGTGGCTGAGGATGACCTTGAACTTCTAACCATTTAGCCTCTGCTCCCCTAGTGCTGAGATGACGGTTCTTGTGCCACCATGCCCAGCTGTCTATCACAGCACATGCACCTTGGCGAATGACCCCCTATGAAGCATACAGAGGCCCTGAGTGGGGACGAGCTCTTGGGCGCCTTCTCCATGGATGACCGTTCCCCCACTCCAGGCCCGAGAAGAAGCCATGAAGGCAGTGCTGTTTCCAATCCGAGGACTTCTGACACCAGAATCTAATATCTCTGTCGCACACGTTCTGGCTGCCCGAGCTGACCTTTCCCGTCTGGTCCCAGCTACTAGTGTGGCTTCCCGCCGAGGGACCAGCTGTGCCATCAACAAGGTGAGCACACCTCGGGCAGGGGAGAATCTGAGCATCCTTGACCTTCAGATTGGTCTTCTGGGGTTTCTCCTGGTCCAGTGTTCTCCCTGATTCCTGGCCTCTGGAATTAACTGGGCTCAAACTAACCACTCTCCATAGCAGAGGGAAATTTTCTAATTTTTTTGAGAGTCTCATGTAGCCCAGGCTAGCCCTGTAGCCAACTCATTATGTAGCCAGGAGGCCAGTCTCTAACTCCTAGTCTTCCTCTGCTTCCCAAATGCTAGGATGATGGGATGCATGAGCACACCCCCGTTTTTTTTTTTTTTTTAACCTACTGAAACTCAAGTCTAATCAACTCTTAGGTGCTTATGGGTGATGTGCCAGACCGTGGGGGGCGCCCAGATGAGCTGGAGGCACCCATGCCTACCTGGAAGAGCCGAAGGGAAGATGGAGGAAGGGGAAAGGCTGGCCAGCAGCGCTGGGGTCGCAGAAAGAAGAAGAAGTAAAGGGTCTTCTGGGTTAGTCAGAGACTCTGCTAGGTGCTGATGCTGCCAGTAACCTTTGAGAGTCACTGGGAGGGTTTTCCTTGGTACCTAAACTGGGCATTCCCTGTTACAGAGACCCTGAACTTCCTACACCCACCCATCCCTTAACACTATAAACCATGTTGTCTGAAAAATAAATTTAATTCTTTTGATGGTTATCGGATCTATTTCCGTATAGGGACTGGCTCAAGGTGTGTGTTTGTGGAGGGGCAAGGGGGAGTTTCTGCCCCCAGGTTGGGATAAGCTTTTTGCTTCTCATGTGGGTGTGGGGAAAGACCCATTGAAGCACTGGACAAACACTTTACAGGTCTAGGTAACTGGGGCACAGCGGGATAGTGTGGGTAAACATCTCTGTCTTTTGGGAGCTCTTCCCGGGAAGGAAGGCAAACAGGTGAAATGTCTAGTTGGTTAGAGGACCAAAGCACCATGGAGAAAGAGAGCAGCAGGGGAGGGTCAGACTGAGTGTGTGACGTCACTGAGGAGCAGGTGAGCCATACAAAGAACTTTTCAGAAAAGGGGATGGCTAGTGCAAAGGAACATGGAGGCCATCGTAGGCGGGAGAGGAGTAAGGAGGGGAGGTATGGACAGGGGAGATGGGTGCTGGGGACAGATTTTGCAGAGCTTTGTAAACCTAGGACTGGGTTTCACCTTGAGCAAGCTGCAGGAGGCCCTGAGCAGGGGAAGACATTTCACACGCACTGCCCACACCAGCCTCTTTGCTGACATTGGTTAGGACTCTGTCCTTCCATTCTTAACAATCTCTAGACCCGTGCCAGCAGGCAATATGGTCCACTGGTTCACAGCTTCACTTGGAGCATGAAGCTTTAGTCTCCATATATGGGAAGTGGGGAGTTGGGGAGATGACGTGACGGGAGTCCAAATCCATCCAACACAGAGCCGCATATGCTAAGTGAGGCCGGAGGGAATATGGCTGACAGTCAGTGCAGTGCAGAAGAACCTTTTCTAGGGGAAGACTCCAGATGCTGTTCAGGCACGGGGCTTTGAGGAAGCTTTGGGTGCTGAAACCGGTGCTGGAAAGGGCACCTGGAGGGAGAAGAATGCACAATGAGAGGCCCTTCGTTTCTGTAGGGGACAGTTCACAGCCAGGACCCGGGTCTCACTCAGATTGGGGCTAAATGACCAATACTCCCAGATGAAATCTTTGCCTTTCAGAAGTGGAAATTGTTCCAATAATATTTATTGTAGCTTCTGACATATTTGGTCTTATTTTTTTTGTTGGGGGGCATCGACATCATGTTCTATGTGGATGCTGTCGATCCTGACCCTAAAGAGCAGGTCAGGGATTCCTGGGTAGGCAAGTGCTCTTGGCCTTGTTCTCACTTGACCTTTTTGTTGTTGTTGTTGTTGTTTTGGTTTTTGTTTTTTGAAATATGGTCTCTCACTATGACAGTCTAACCTGGATCCTCACCATGTAGCCTCAAGTTGTGGCTATTCTCTCTCAGCCTTTTCAGCGATAGGAGTATAGGTTTGAGCAACCATGCCTAGCTTTTTCTTTTTCTCCCTAGATCTTTGTTTTTGTGTTAGTAACTACCCACTTTTGTCACCTGAGTATCTTATGACTGCTATTATTTCTCTGTCAACATTGAAAACTAGTCAGTGTCCACTGGGCATGGCGGCTCATACCTATGACACTCTGGAACATAAATGCAAGATGATTGTGAGTTTGAGGCCAGCCTGGGTTACAAAGTGAACTGGTTAGGTTTTGCCATCTTCACACAAGCTAGAGTCACCCGGGCCGAGGGAATATCAATTAAAGGATTGCTTCCATCAGATTGACCTGTCAACATGTCTGTAAGGCATTTTCTTGATTAATGATTGAGGGGAGAGGGGGAAGGCCCACCCTGGTTGTATAAGAAAGGATGGTAAGGAAGCCATGGAGAGCAGGCAAGCAAGCAGCATTCCTCCATGTTCTCTGCTTCAGTTCCTGCCTGACTTCCTCCAATAAATGGACTATGACCTGGAAGTGCAAGTCAAATAAATCCCTTCTCCCCCCAGTTGATTTTGGCCAGTGTTGTAGCCCAGCAGCAGAAAGCCACTAGGACACATAGTGAGATACCATCTCAAAAAAAAAAAAAATTCTTTCCTTCCTTTCCTTAGTGTCTCTAACCTCCCATCCAGGCGACAGATTTTTATATGGTTTTGCCTCTCTGTGATTCCCAGATCTGTCTGGTTTATCCCAGACAAATAGCCTTCCTCTCCTGGATCCAGCTTGGGACTCCTTACCATCTCCGCCTCCTAGGAAGAGTGTGAGGACTCCGTCTGGGTCCAAGCATGGCGAAGGTGGCAACCAGACTCAGCATCCAGGGGTAGTGTGTAGGAGAGATTTTCCTCAGAGCCTGTTTGGGATGTGAGGGGTGGCAGAGATGTGGCTATGACATGAAGGACTCCATCCTCTGGGCCTTCCTCCTGGGCACTGTGTTCTGGGTCTTACCACAGCTGGCAGGAGGAAGTGCGGCTGGCACAGGCGCCCCTGGGGGACCAGGCTCACCCTTCGTCTCCGGCCTCTTCTTGCACTCCACTCTCACTTGGTCCTTGCAGTGTCTGTGACAGCACAGCCCACAGTCTGGAGGGAAAGGAGCTGCTGAACACCCCCTTCTTCCAGCCTGCAGGTCTAATGCCAACCCCCCTCCACTTACCCCGACAGCGATAACCTTGCTTGGTGACACCCCAGAGCTGAGGAAAGAAAGGAGGGTTGGTCAGTCGGACTAGAGGAGGGTGCACGGGAGAAAGAGGATGGAAGCCAATGGGTTTTGAAATTTCTCAAGATTCTGAGAATTAACCAAAATTATAGGAACTTGGAGATCATCTCAAACTTAGGGAATCAAGTAGGGTATTACAAATGGACAAACTGCTGGATTAACGAAAATGTATATCCTGTGGATAAGGGCTATTTGTGTCATTCACAGTGTCCAGAGCCTGGCACTGTCTGGCTCATGGGTTGTGTCAAGTGCAGACCTGGCAGTAAATAAGTGATGAGATCTGTGATTTCGTCTCAATTTGACGATTAAGATTTGTTCACTATCAAGAATTTGAAGCCAGGTGTGGTGACATATACCTATAATCCCAAGAGGCTGAGGTAAGACTGGGAATTAGAGTCAAGCCTGGGCTACATAATCCATTTAATTTTGTGTGTGCGTGCATTCTGAGGATTGAACCCAGGACCTTGTATATGGCAGGCAAGCACTCTACCACTGAGTTAAATCCCTTGCCATATAAAATAAATTTGAAGCCAGCCTGAGCTACATGGGAAGACCCTGTCTCAAAACCCCAAAATTTGAGAGAAAACAAACAAAAATAAAAGATGTCTTTAAGTTGGAAATGAAGAAAGCTTTGGGCGGTCCAGGGTAATGGATCAGAGAGTGATTTTGGGGGCCAGGTTTCTCTGTGTAGACTGACTGACCTGGAGCGCCATATGTAGTAGACCAGGCTGGCCTTGAACTCACAGAGCTCTGCCTGCCTCTGCCTCTCAGATGCTGGCATTGAAGGTGAGCGCCATATCAGCTGGAGACCGATGTTTAAAATTCGTTTTACTTATTTATTTTTGTTGTTCTTTGAAAAATAATTTGAGTAACTTGAGACTTTGTTACCACCCATGCACACACATACACACGCCACAGAGCGTGTTGATGTCAGAGAACGACTTCATAGAGTCAGGGTACCGACTAACTAGAATCATAGGCAATTGTGAGCTGCCCAATGTGTGTGCCAGGGACCAAATCCAGTCGCTCAGCAAGGGCAGCCAAGTGATATTACCTGCTGAGCCACCTCCCCAGCTCTGCTGGTGTTTGTTTGGTCATTCATTCATTCATTCATTTCTCGTTATTTATTTTGGTTTTCCATGACAGGGTATCTGTATATAACCCAGACTGTTCTCAAACTCAGAAATCAGTCTGCCTCTGCCTCTCGAGTGCTGGGACTAAAGTTGTGTACCGCCATGCCCCAGCTATGTTGATGTTTTTTAAGACAATGTCTCATATAGCCCAGGCTGGCCTCAAACTCACTATGTAGCTAAGGATGACCTTGCAGTTCTGGATTCTGACATACTACCATGTCCACCAGACCCCCTACCCCCACTGCCTCGAGTTAGGTTGTGAGGCACTAATCCAGGGGAGACAGGGCCTAAGGGTGCTAACAGGGCCAAGTGCTCACGAAGCCGCTGCAGCTGTGACAGAAGGTGGGCTTCCGGAAGGTGACTTCATGGAAGGTGTGCAGGAAGGCCAGGCCCAGCTTGGAGCAGATGGCGCTGGCGCGGAGCAGGTATTCCGTCAGCTCTTCTTTGCTGAAGGAGCCGCTCCTACAGGGCAAAGGCCACACCTAAGCATGACTGGCCCCTCGCAGCACGGCATGTCCAGGATCCTTGCTTTTGGAAGATCCAGGAGCCAGGGAGCCAGGGCCTCTTACCCGTGGCGGGGAGGTGGGTGAAGCCCATGGCAGGCAAAGGGGAAGTTGCCTGACAGTCGCTCAAAGTCCTCCAGGGAGATGGTGCCATGGCCTTCTGGGTCATAGTTCTTGAACACGGACTTGAGAGGGACACAAAGAAGAGAGTGAGGACAAGACACCCAGGCCCAGTCCTGTGGGCTTGGCTTCCTCCCACCGCTCATCTGGCAGCCCTCCAGGGACCCGCAACCCCTCCCCACCGCTCATCGGGCAGCAGACAGCCGCAGTCCCTCCCCACCGCTCATTGCACAGCCCTCCAGGGACCTGCAATCCCTCCCCACCGTTCATCGGACAGCAGACACCCGCAGTCCCTCCCCACCGCTCATCGGACAGCAGACACCCGCAACCCCTCCCCACTGCTCATCGGACAGCAGACACCTGCAGTCCCTCCCCACCGCTCATCGGACAGCCCTTCAGGGACCGCAGTTCCTCCTCACCGCCACTAGTTGTTCCACATGCTGACCCAGGGTCACGCTGTCTGGCTTTGGGGTCACACCATGGGCCCATTCCGCCACTAGAGGGGCTTTGTAGGGGGAGGGTGGCTAGAAGAACACAGAGGGACACAGTCAAAGCATGGGCTTAAGAGGATGGAAGGGGTGGGGGTCAGAGGTCAGGAGTCAAGGCTCACCAGACTCTTGGGACAGCGTGGTTCCCGGGCATAAGAAAGCTCGTAGATCTCATCTTCGGTATAGAAGAGATCCAGGGAGAGCTGGGGGATGCGCAGGGCAGTAAAGTTCCTCCTCCAGGTCTCCGCCTGGACCCTAGTCCCCTATCCTCTTCTTAGACCCTTCCCTTGGACCTGTCCTGCCACCTCTGCCACCCTCCACAATCCAAAAGTGCCTTGTTCCCACTGAGGCCTTTTTAAAAAAATTATGTATGTGTGTATGTGTGTGTGCCATGTATGAGTGGGTGCCCGCGGAGACCAGGAGAGGCACTGGGCCCCCAGGAGCTGCAGTTGCAGGTAATTGTCAGCTTCCACGTGCATGCTGGAATGGTAATGGGACGAACAGGAAGAGCTCTGAACCACCAAGCTGCCATCCTCTCCCCATCTCCCTTCTGAGACAGTCTCATCACACAGGCCAGGCTGACTGGGAACTCACATCTTCCTCTCTTGGCCTCCTGAATGCTGGGATTTCAAGCATGTGTCTACACATCCTGCTAAGTTCCATTTAGAATTAAACAATGAGCCACACATTTTCAATTTCCACTGGGTCCTGACAAAAGTTATGTACGGCCTTGTCTCGGGGGTCTCTGAACTCAACTTTTCAGTCACCTATGCCACCTTCAGAGTTTGGCACTGCCTCAACCTTCCTGACCCCTGAAATGAGCATAGTACGGGCGCTCACGTTGTAGGGTTCTAAGCTGAAGTGACCTGCAGGTTCCTTTACATACTTTTAAAGCTCAAACTTGGAGTCTTGAACATGCTCTGCTACTCTCTGGGCATGATGAACATGCCTGAATCATAGTGTGTGGTAGGCAGAGCACGGAGGAGTGTCATCAGCTTAGGGTTATCCTGGTCTACATAGTGAGTTCTAGGCCAGCAAGGGCTATATAGTAAGACCAGGTATCCACAAAACAAAGCAAAAAGAAAGCAAACAAAAAATGGTCCACCACTGTATTATCCTTAGATCTTGGGCTGTGTGTGTGTGCGTACATACAAGCACATGGGCTCACATGCATGTGGCTTCTGAGGTTAATGTTTGGTTGTCTTCCTTAATTTCTCTATTATTTTTGTTGTTGTTGTTAATGTTTTTGGAGACAGGGTCTCCCTATGTAGCCCTAGACGGCCTGGAACTCACTGTGTAGCCCAGGCTGGCCCGGAACTCATGATTCTCCTGTCTCTGCCTCCCAAGTTTGGGGCGCATGTGATCAATACTGGTCAGAACTTCCAGACACGCCCCAGCTATGCCACATCCTGGCAGCTCAAGACTGTTGTTACTAGGAGCTCAGACACTGAGTTACTTTGTTTTGTTTTTCTTCCCAGAGATGAGCAAAGAAAGGGCCTCTTTACACCCAGGCCCTCTCACTTGCCCAGCAAGCATTCTACTACTTCCCAGCATTCCAAGCTCCTTGCTGTTGCAGGGATTCAACAGCCCAAAGCAACCCAGGGGCCTGGATCGGGTCCTTGAGTCAGGATAAACTGTGTTCCTTGTGTTCCTGATCTGCTTTTCTTTGAGACACAGGTAGCCCAGGCTAGTCTTGACTTTGCAACAGTCTTCCATCTTACCCTCTGGAGTGCCAGGACTGCTAAAGGTGTGAGCCACCACACCCAGCTCAGGTACTGGTTTGATTACTTCTTACTACATTGTTGTTTCTTAGCCACACTCTGAAGAGGGTCCTAGTGTTGTGCTTGTTTTACAAGTAACGAAGTGTTCACAGGGATGTGACTTGCCCAAAGTTACACAGTTGGCCAGACTCCTAGAAGTTGTGGGTTTATGAGTTCTACAGCTGGGCTTCCTACTACACGCCTGTAATCACTGTACTTGGAAGGCTCCAACAAGAGGACAGCTGCCCGGCTCACACACTGAGTTCCCTGGCCTGAGCTACACTGTGAGACCTGACCTTAAAATAAGTACTAGAGGGATGTAGTTTAGTGGTGGAAAACTTGCCTAGAACTCATCATGCAGGGGATATGACTCAGTGGTAGAGCAACTGCCTAGAATCGCCCACCTCCAAGGGCTGAGGCATGGCTCAGTAGTAGATACCTGTCTAGAATTCCCCAGTGCAGAGCTGGGGTGTGGCTCAGTGGTAGAGCCCCTGCCTAAAATCCCACAGTGAGGGGCTGGGGTGTGGCTCAGGGGTAGAGTCCCTGCCTAGAATCCCCCAGTGAGGGGCTGGAGTGTGGCTCAGTGGTAGAGCACCTGCCTAGAATCCCCCAGTGAGGGGCTGGGGTGTGGCTCAGTGGTAGAGCCCCTGCCTAGAATCCCCTAGTGAGGAGCTGGGGTGTGACTCAGTGGTAGAGCCCCTGCCTAGAATCCCCCAGTGAGGGTCTGTGGGCATGGCTCAGTGGTAGAGCACCTGCCTAGAATCCCCTAGGAGGGGGGGAAGGGGGTGTGGCTCAGTGGTAGAGCCCCTGCATAGAATCCCCCAGTGAGGGGCTGGAATGTGGCTCAGGGGTAGAGTCCCTGCCTAGAATCCCCCAGTGAGGGGCTGGAGTATGGCTCAGTGGTAGAGCCCCTGCCTAGAATCCCCCAGTGAGAGAGATATGCTCTCTCATATAATATGTGCCGAGTGCTCACATATTATAAGTGAGGTCCTAGTTTCACTTTCCAGTACAGCAAAAACCAAACCAAACCAAAGTCTCTCATTCCCTGTCTATCGGGGTCCTTCAGACTCCCCCCAGCCCAGGATTCTAATTATTGGTCCCCTGTGGTCTTCAGGGAGCTCAGGGGACACAGGGCCCAGAGTTCACCGTCAGCAGATGCAGCAGGTCCTCACTGGCGCTGCAGGGGGGATGCTGTCCCTGGAGTGTTGCCAGCTCCTGCAGCCGTAGGTAGAGGCTATTCAGCTTGGGGAGGTGCAGGCGGCCATCCGGCAACCTGTCTGGATGGGCCTCATACAGGGACACCAGGTCCTTGAGGTGTACACCCAGTATGGGCAGTCGGAAGCCAGTACAGCTGGCCCAGGTACGGCGGTAGCAGGCATAGTTGTTGTGGGAGGCGAGGAGTTCTGTCAGCTCCAGCAGTGCCTGTGTAGAAAGTGCTTGCTAGGATAAGAATGCCTCTGTTGAACATGCCCCTCGCAGGGGATTCCCTTAATCCCTCTCCAGAAGAGAAGAGGAAACAAGAGAAATCACCTGATGCAGAGCCCCGATTCCTACTTTCGGATGTCAAATGCCCAGTATGCTATCAAATCACCAGTCTTTAGCCATGCTGGTAGTCTGTCTGTCTTTCTTTCTGTCTTTCTGTCTGTCTGTCTTTCTTTCTTTCTTCCTTTCTTTCTTCCTCTTCTTTGTTTTGTTTTTTCAAGACAGGGTTTCTCTGTAGTTTTGGAACCTGTTGTAGATCAAGCTGGCCTCAAACTCACAGAAATCCACCTGCCTCTGCCTCCCAAGTGCTGGGATTAAAGGCGTGTGCCACCACTGCCCGGCCTACAAACAGTAGTCTTGCAAGTTGGCCGCTCCACTGTCCTCTACCAGCCTACAGGTGGAAAAGCAAGACTGACAGGGGATGCTCCTTCAGGAGGAAGCAGCTCTGAAAAGCACCTGATTCAATAAACACATCCCAATAAAAATATACAATGCCGCTATTCTGAGCCTCTTAGAGGGGGGATAGCAGCAATCTTATTTGTGGACTCTAGACCCCAGAAATCTGAATCAGATGCTCAGAGCGAGCAGCTGCCTAGAATCCACCAGTGAGGGGCCAGGACATTGCTCCATATATAGGTGGTCCAGGAAGAAAGAATAGGGATAGCTGGGCCGGAGGTGGGTGGGGTCTATGGAATTTGGAGTATAAAGGTTCAACGATGGCTCCAGAGCCCTCGAAGGGACTGACAGCAGTTACAGAGCAATATGTGAAGGTTCAGGGCAGATGACCATTTGGACTTTGGGAAATAGAGGGGAATTACCTTAGTGCTGTCGGGGCTCAGGTGGCTGTGGGAGTCTTTCAGCCTGGAGATGGAACTATGACACAGGCCACCCGTGACCGCCATCAGTGTGTTGAAATTCTGTAGCTGGTGAAGCCTCTACAAGGGAGGTAATGACAGAAGTGGGAGGTACCGCAGAATAGCGGTAGGGTGGGACGCGGACTGGGGGGGGAGGGTCCCGTCATGTGTGAGTGGGCACCAGGTGTGAGCAGATGAGTGGGTTGGGCTGGCAAGGTGCCAGGCATGAATTTAGGGTTAGACAGATTTGGAGAACAGACAGGTGTGTGTTGGCCAGGTGTAGAGAATTCAGGAGTATATCAGGCATCTGGCTTCTGGGGGCGGGGTCAAACAACACACAAGCGAGTCACGCAGGTGAAGGCATGACTGGTAGAAGGAATGAATTAACTGTGACATAGAAGAGTAAAACAGATGTGGGACGAGCGTGAGGTTCACAGGGTATCAGGAGAATTCTTTCTCCTTCCCTACTCAAAGCTTGAAGGATGGAGGTCATTGTGGAGACAGGTGAGGCAGGACCAAGTAGAAGATGCTCAGGCCAAGAAGCTCAGGCTGATGCCAGAACTGCTCCCAGGTCTAAAGAAACCAGCAAAATGTAGCTCAGTAGTAAAGCCCTGCCTAGAATCCCCCAGTGAGGGGCTAGGGTGTGGTTCAGTGGTAGAGCCCCTGCCTAGAATTCCCCAGTGAGGTGCTGGTGGCATGTCTCAGTGGTAGAGCCCCTGCCTAGAATCCCCCAGTGAGGGGCTGGTGGCATGTCTCAGTGGTAGAGCCCCTGCATATAGACTCTCCCAGCGAAGGACTGGGGATGTGGCTCAATGGTAAAGGACTTATTTAAGGGTGCAGGAGGCCCTGGGTTCAATCCCCCCATACTAACAGAAATAGCCAAGCAAGAGGAAGCAAAGTGTTGGAAGGCTCATGAGGAAGGGCGTGGTCTGCTTTGGAGATATTCAAAGAGGTCAGACCACAGGGCTTCCCTTTTCCCAGAAGGGAGGGGAGGCTGACTCAACGGGTCCGGGCCAGAGAGACAGGACTAAGTCTCTTTGTATCTAAGTATCACTAAAAGTGATGCAGTCACTGTCCAAAGACACCAGGGGGCTAAGGACTGGAGATACAAAGCTGAAGATGCAGAAAGGATCCTTTCTCTGCATGGGAGGAGGTGGGAGGGGTGGGGGGGGGTGAGTTGGTGGGGTATGATATCATGATAGAATTTGACTCTGGGCCTGGGAAACAGTGCTAATTCCTAACTATAGAGCCAGTGGTGGGGCCAAGTAAGGTTTGACTCTGTGATATCAAAGTCACAGCGGAGTATGGACTCGGATGATGCCAGGGTACTGTGTGGCAGGTATGGTGGGTGAGGGAGATGAGTCATGCCACCACAGGATGGGCTGGAGTCATGGGCTGGAGAGATGGCTCAGTGCTTAAGAGCACATACTGCTCTTGCAAGGGGACCTGAGCTCCGTTCCCAGCACCCATATGAGGCAGCTCACAACAGCCTCCTGTAACTCCAGTGTCACTGGCCTCTAACGGGGCGTGTGCACACACAATTTAAAATAATTAAAAAATAAATATTGATCTGTGGTCAGCCTGGTCTAGAGCTAGTTCTAGGACAGCCAGGGCTACACAGTGAAACTCTGTCTCAAAAACCAAAATAAATAAATAAATATTTAAGAAGAAAAAGGAAAAAAAAAAAGCCTGGAGCCTTAGTCAGTCACAATATGGAGGCCAAATCTAGTAGACAGTCCCAGAAGCAAGTAGAAGCCAGCTGTGGCGGCACACACTTTAATCTCAGTATTTGGTAGGCAGAGGCAGGCAGATCTCTTTAAATTCGAGACCATCCTGGTCTACATAGCAAGTTCTAGGACATCCAAGGCTACACAGAAAGACCCTGTCTCAAGAAAAAAAAAGCGGAAAGACTGGGCGTTCGGATGGGCTTACCTGTGCCACATGAATGAATTTGTCCAATACCTGGGCCCGTTGTGCAGGCCCAGGACGGCTCAGTACCATGACCTGTACCCAGCGGGACACACTGTTGCTCAGACCCACAGAACCTTCCAGAGCGGGACAACCCCTCACTGAGCCCTGCAAAACATAGCCCCGCAGGTCTTGGGGCTGAGGACAAGATTGGTCAGGCTGGGTGCTAGAGCTCACACGCCACCTTCCTGGCAGTCCCGACCCCTACCGTCCTGAGGTAGGCTACGTCTTCCCACCGGGCTACTGTAGGTCCCAGACATCACCTAGTCCTGTTCTAGTCTGTGTGTGCATTGTTATGTGTCTGACTGGGCATGCTCAGCACAGGGAGGCATGGGCAAGAGGACGGGAAGGCGGCTTCTACTTGATCTGCTCAATAATATGTACACTCCACACTCATGTCCACCACACCACACAGGCACGCGCGCACACACACACATATGTGCACGCATAAGCACGCACGCACACACACACAAAATCCGGAAATCTGTCCCCTAAAGGAATCAGATCCCCATTTTCCTTCAAAACAATGTCTAGATGTTAGCAGCTGCTACATTTCAACCCAGAAGCACATGCAGTTGCCTTGTGGGAAGGGAAACAACGATTTCAAAGGCTTTCCTCGGATAGTTTTACTCTAACCATGCACTAGTCTCTTAATATCCCGCCTGATTTTTTTTTTTTTTTTTTTTTTGGTGGTGGTGGTGGGGGTTTCTCTATGTTGCCCTGGCTGTCCTGGAACTAGCTCTGTAGACCAGGCTGGCCTTGAACTCACAGAGATCTGTCTGCCTCTGTCTCCCATTCAAGTGCCTAGATTAAAGGTGTGAGCCATGACCACCCAACTCCATTTTAATTTTTACCTTTATGTACAGAGGAACCGAGGTGTGGTAAGTTGAAATGCTTAGGGAATACATGAATAACTGAGAAAATACTTTGAGCACTCAACTATGTGATTCTATTGCAGTAAGCAATGACAGGGCCCCATGTAGGCCAAGCTGGCCCTGAGCTTCACACCCTCCTGCGTCGGCCCCACGAGTGCTAGGATTTTAGGCCTGCACCACCACACCACACTACAATCATCACTTCTAAATGGAAATTTCATTCCCTCCCCTTTCTGTGAAGTGGTGCGGTCTCTGTCTTGTATGAATGGGTACCTGAGAGACGGAGAAACTAGTTCAAAGCTAGCGAGGTCAACGGGAGCTGAGGCAGGCTGGGGACATGGCCCTTGGTCGAAACCTTGCCTAGTATGCCTGAACAAAGCTCTGGATCTGATCTGCGTCCCTGCAGAAACCGCTGTGTTGGCACACATCTGGGATGCTAGCACCCAATAGGTGGAGGGAGTGGACCAGAGATCAAAAGTCATCCTTGGTTCCATAGCTGGAGGCCGTGAGACTCCCATCGGAACAACGGGGCAGACAGGGAGTAAGAAATGAGTGGAAAAGAAAGAAATGGCCGCTAAAATGACAGAGTGGATAAAGGGGCCTGAGCTGCGTTCCTGGGACGCGCATGGTGGCAGAAAGAGAAGACTGACTCCTACGAGATGTCCTCCAACCACCACGTCTCTCTCACACAAGCAATAAACATGTAAAATAAAAATGTCTAAAAGGGGGGGCTGGAGAGATGGCTCAGAGGTTAAGAACACTGCCTGCTCTTCCAAAGGTCCTGAGTTCAATTCCTGGCAACCACATGGTGGCTCACAACCATCTGTAATGGGGTCTGGTGCCCTCTTCTGGCCTGAAGGCATACACACAGACATAATATTGTATACAAAATAAATAAATATTTTAAAAAAAAAGTCTAAAAGGAAGGGAGAAGGGGATGGGATTTGAACTCAAGGCCTTAGCACCCAGCCAGCTTAACCCATTGTCTCAGACCCTCCTGCTGCCAGGGTAGACTGCTTAAGAGCTTCGGCCAGGAGTGCTGGAGCACACCTTTAGCCTCAGCACTCAGGAGGCAGAGGCAGGCAGATCTCTGTGAGTTCAAGGCCAGCCTGGTCTACAGGGTGAATTCCAAGCCAGCCCAAGTTACGTGGTGAGATCCTGTTTCAAAAAAGAGTTTACATTTTGGGCTGGGGATGTAGCTCGGTGTTAGAGCTTGCCTAACGTAGGCGAGACCCTGGGTTCAGTCACCAGCGCTGATAACACAGTCACAGAAATAGCAATAATAGTAAGACCTACAACCCCATATGGATGCCTGCGCCAGGGGAACACCCACCCTGCCACATTTCCCCACACCCGTTCTGTTTGCTGCCTAGGGGCAGACTGGGAAAGGCATTCTCACTGTGATGGCCTGGAAGGCCCGGAACTCCAGGTAAGTGAGGTGTTGAGCCAGCTCCTCTGTCTCCAAGTGATCGAACAGCAAGGACACTTTGCGCTTCTTGCCCAGGCCTGGGCTGCTCATGGGAGGTGGGGGGCCGGGCCCTCTGGGACTTAGTCTGGAGGTCAAGAAAGACAGGTTATTGGAGTGGCTCATGAGTTAAAGGTTTGGGGAGCACATAGAGGGTGTGGGCAGGATAGGGTGGGGGCAGGGGAGAAGGGGAGGGCTGGCTCACAGGTTGGAGGCATCTCCTAGGCTTCTTTGGGTCAAGTTGCCCTCCCGAGCTACTGTGGCCCAAAACCGACCTATGACTTCTTCTAGATGGGGCTCCTGGTGCACCGCCTCAGGGTCATGGGTCAGCCAGTACCTGGGAGAGGCCAGAGAAGGGAGGTAAACTTGGGCTGGCGGTAGGTGAAGAGGGGCTCTGTAAGGGGGCCTGAGGCTAAGGAATTCTACACATGGGGAACTAAGAGCATTTCTATGTGTATGGTTTCTGGAGTCAGAATCAGAGGGGTGACTCAGGGAACTTGGGGGGCAGTTCTTAAAACAGGACAGGAATCTCTTGAGACAACTGGCACCCCAGACAGTTGGGGTGCCAGAAACTGGGTGGGAATGAGATTTGGGGAGTCAAGGCGATGAAGTCTTAGGAGTATGTCGGAAGTGAGGTGTCACCAAGGAGAGTCTATGGGATCTGGGTCAGGTCTCCAAGAACTGGTGTTCTAAGGAGCAGGGGGCAGCGGTCTCAGGAACTAGGTTAGGGGTGGTTTTTAAATTTTCTTGAAAGATTTATTTTCACTTTGCATGTATGAGTGTTTTGCCTACAAGGATGTATGTGTACCATGTGTGTGCCTGGTGCCATGGAGGTCAGAAGACAGCGCTGGATTCCCTAGAACTGGACTTACAGTCAGACACCATGTGAGTGCTGGGAACTGAATCCAAGTCCTTTGAAAGAGCAGCAAGTGCCCTTCCTATGGCTGAGCCATCCAGCCCCAGTCAATGGTGTGTTAGCAAGGGATTTTTTTTTGTAATTTTTTTTTTTTGTTTTTGAAATAGGACCTTACTCTATAGCCCAGGCTAGCACGGAACCTGAGGAGAATCTTTATCTCAGGCTATCTCACGCCAGGATTACAGGCATGAGTTATCACATGGACTCTTAGTGTGGGATTTTAGAAAATGGAGCTGAGTGTATGTGGGGGGTGGATTGGGTTGGGGAATCTTGGAGAGGTGTTTTATGAGAAGGCGGGGGGGGGGGGTCTTGCCCAGCCCTACCTGACCAGGTAACAGATCTGCAGCTGTCTTAGCTCCTGCGCATCTTTGGCAGCCTTCTGGTACCTGAGTTCTAGTCAAGGCTGTTTGCAGCACCCCCATTTCCCCACTCCCCCACTCTCTTCTCCCAGGAGTTTAGGGATCTGCCCTCAACCCTCTAGACAGAGATCACCCTTCTGGGAGGATATGAGGTAAGCAGCCGGGTCGCAAAGTCTGAGGACGGCAGCACCCAGCTGTGCATCGTAAGCACCATCTTGAGAATGTGGTCCCCACGGCGTAGGCTGCCAGTTGAGTCTGGAGGAGAGGAGAGTTCATTAGCCTGGGCCCTGGGCAACAGATGGATGGCTTCCAGCCTGGGTGGACAGGCTGCTGCAGGGGCTGGTTCTACCTGTGGTGCCCTGCAGGAACCCGAGCAAGCAATATGATTTCATCAGGTGCACGGGATGAGTTTGATTCCTGGCCTTCAATCATCTCAAGGTGTTTTCCTTGAACTTTTTTTTTTCTTTTTCTTTTTGAGACAGGGTTTCTCTATGTAACAGCTCAGGGTGTCCTGGAACTTGCTTTGTAGATCAGGCTGACCTCAAACTTCCAGAGATTCCCCCCCTACCTTTACCACCTGAATGCTACCCGGCTTCCTTGAATTTTTAAGATTTATTTTTATTGCCTTAAATTGTGTGTGTGTGTGTGTGTGTGTGTGAGTGAGAGAAGTGTGTGTGTGTGTGTGTGAAGTGTGTGTGTGTGTGTGTGTGTGTGAAGTGTGGGTTTGTTCACATGGGTGCTGGGAGCCCTCTCATGCCAGGGGTATCAGGCTCCCTGGAGCTAGAGTTACAAGTTCATGTAAACCTTCTGATGAAGATACTGTGAACCAAACTCAGGCCCTCTGCAAGATGGGTACATGATTTTAATCACTAAGCTATCATTTCAGCCCCTTAACTCATTTTTTTTGAGACAGGATATTACTATATAGCCTTGGCTGGCTTGGAGCTTGCTATTTAGACCAGGCTGGCCTCAAATCACAGAGATCTGCCTGTCTCTGCCTCCCAAGCGCTGAGATTAAAGGCATGCACCATATCACCCCGTTAGGCCTCGAACTTTATCCTCCCGCCTCAGCCTTCAAAACTGTGCGACTAGACCCAAGCTCTCTCTCATCATTTACGTCATTTACATAAGGCGGATTCACCCTACTGACCCGCTTCCTCCCCCTACCAGTGAAGCCGACAGAGAAAAGCTTAGCGGGCTGTGCGCCCTGGGAAGGCTGGCCTGGGTAGGGCTACTCACCGAAGCATTGGATACATTTCTCCAGTAACTCATCTTCGCTGCAGCTGCCTTCGCTCAGCACCCCCAGATTCATGGAAGCCATAACCTTGATGATTTCCCGGGGGGTGGGGCACGTCTTGTGGCGGCGGGCCTGCCGTGGCCGACCCCGCCCGCCTGCCTTCCCAGAGCATTCCTGATGAGACTTCCTGTAGGGACACACACAAAACACCCCCCGCCGCAAAGCATCACGGGAGTCCCTTCCTCCATGTATACTCTCAGAATTCCTCTTGATCCCAACGCTTCTAAGCACCATGGACCAAAGTTCTTGAAGACCAAGGCCCAGGGCTACCCACTAGGGACTCATGGGCAACAAACTCCAAAATATTTCAGATTCCCCAGGCAAGCATGGTCAAAGACCCAGAACAGAGGGCCTTCCATAAGCTTAACTCCCTCCTCCAGGCATTGACTTAATTATTGTTTTTAAAGTTAGTATACAAAATAGTGGGTTTCATCATGACATTTATCACACATAATCTTTATCATCGTACCCATACCTTGTTCCTATTTGCCACCCATCTGCCCTCCCTCATATCATTGGTTCCTTCCCTGTCCTCTGCTTTCATGTCATATATATGTATGTGTGTATACACATACTTAAATATAGGTTTCACATTTACAGGAAAACACACCTAGTATTTTGTCTTTTCCCTGTTACTTTCTGTTATTCCCACCTCTCTTCAAGTTCCTCTGGATAATATAGCCCCAAAACAGCACAGGGGAAATCTGTTGTAAGCAAGCCCCCAGGATTCATCTTCAGTTTTTAGGGAACCCAGGAAATGACCCTCGGACCAACTCCAGGGCATCTTAGGTATCCACAAGTTGGCCTTCAGGTTCCTGCCAGAGCCAGAACAACATCTGGAGTCTAGGAGTCCTGCCCCTGTGGCCCAGCGATGGAGCCGACTCCTGCAGTCAGGCCTCTAGAAATGTAGCCCTGCCTCTGCAAGGCAGCAGACCCTTCCTTGAGCTTGTTTCACACAGAGTCTTAGCCTCTAGCCTCCCTCCACATTTGGAGCCCAGAGAGGAAGTACAGAGCTTCTCCTGGGCTCCTCGGAGGTAGGCGGGGTCCCTGGGGCCACAGCCGCTTCAAGGAAAGTTTAAAAATAACCTTGTCGTCTGCCTCCCTAGGTGTCTGTCCCAGGTGAGGGAAAAGGGACAATGTGAAAGGAAAGGAGAAATGGAGGGAGGGGTTGGATTCGAGTCTTCAGAGTCATTCAGAACTGGGCTCGAGGAGTTTCCGCCGGCCGTGTGCCTCTTTATAAGTTACCCAATGTCTTTCTAGCCCTTGCTTTCTTCAGATGAAAAAGTAAAGTCATCCTTGGATTTTCCCCGGCATTCGTAAGCCTGGCTCCTCAAAGGGGCTCAGCTGGTTGGGAAGCAGACAGTGAGACGTGGAGAGAAAGTCGCATATGATGGTGCTACCGTGCAATCCTAGCTGCCTGGGAGAATGAGGCAGGGGGATTGCAAGTTTGAGTTCAGCCTGGGCTACAGAGCAAGACACGATCTAAAAAAAAAATAAAAGACAGGAGGAAGCAGCCAGGCTTCCAGCATGGCATGGGTGTGAAAACACAAACAGAGACACCTTAAAATAAATCTGCCGTGTCTCCTGCAACCTCAGAAGGGCTTAATATAGCTGGTAAATGATAATGGACATTTGAGCACTGACTCGGAAGCAGCTCGAGGTACTCACACCAAGTACCAAAGCATCACCTTCCTGGGCATTCCATATAAGCACGGTTTCTTTAGGGGTAGGCTTTCAAGCCCTCCGTGCGGCTGCCATACACACTCACATTTGAGAACTGGTGGTCAAAACAGAGTAAGTTCTTCCATCCCCTCTAAAGTAGTACCCATGATAATTCTGACAGAAGCAGAAACTGAGACAGAGTAATTGAGTAACTTACCTAAGGTCACACAGCCAGGAACCGAGGCACCCAAGATTCTCTCACCATATTGCTCATCAGGACCACACTAGGGAGACTGGGGGAGCTATCCAGGCTGGGGACCTTGCACCATCTTTCCTTACAGGGACAGGAGGGCTAACAATGCCAGGAGAAAGAAGCCCATTTCTGATCCTGCTGGCACAGTCAGCCACCTGACCCTTACCTGCTCCACGGCAGCCCCCAGTGGTGCCTGGAGCAGCCAGCAGTGGTTTAAGAGGCAGGGAAGCTGCAGAGACCTACGTCATGAACCTCTCTCCTGGGGCACAGTCCTGCAGGAGCCTGGAGTTTCCAGTCCAGGGGGGTAGTGACCATAATAGGGACAAGGAAGACAGAGGCAGCCAGCTGAGGGAGCTGGGATCGAGGGATACAGGGCAGCTCAAACTCCAGGGAGAGACAACAGCAGTAACCGAGGCTCGGGTGCTCAGCTCCCTGAAGCATCTCATTTATCCCTCGAACCCACGAGAGCCCCATTGGAGGAATGGGGGCACCCCTTGTCCTCTTGTCCCCCCACTGGCCACAGCCAGAGGTAGCAAGACTCTGGCTCTCCCAGATCTCCTTGAGGAGGGTCCTTTGGCTCTCCCAGGTCTCCCTGGGAGAGTCCTCTTACCTTTTGCTGTCTTTCCGGTTCATGGTTCCTGGAGGGGACAGGGGTCCTGACAGGGATATGATCCCGTTCCTTCTCTGGCCAGATTGTCAACCCCCTGGGAGCTGCGGCGGCGTCCACAGTGTTTAGGAAGGAAAGAGGAACTGCCCCTCCCCACTCCCCCCCCCCAGGCCAGGGGGAAGGAAGAGGCTGGGGAGAGACCAAAGACTCCCCTCCCCCAAAGGGGATCCCTGCCTGCTGAGGTTTCCGGTGCTGCCTACCCCCTCTCAGCTGTCTCTCTAGCTATCTCCCCATCTTCCTTTCTCCCCCACCTCTGTCTCACACACACACACACACACACACACACACACACACACAGCTTTAAAAAGTGTGACTGATATTTATGTAAAAACACAAGCTCAGAGGAAAGGTCTGGATTTCTCTTCTTTTATTGTATTTTGTTCTTTAAAGCCAGACTCTCAAGTAGCTCAGGCTGGCCTCAGTACTCACAGAAAGTCTCCTGCTTCAGCCTCCCACATGCTAGGACGACAGGTGTGAAGTGCACGGCTGGTTTGAAGGACACTGCTTATCCCGGGGAAACATTTTCACTTTATTCTGTTCTTGGTAAAATCCTTCAGGTTGCACCTCCCGTGTACTGTAGACTTTTCTAAGAGTTTGGGGTTTTATTTATTTATCCATTTTTATTTCTGAAGGTATACTCACCTTTTGTTGTATTTTATTTTTACTTTGAATCCTGTGTATGTGTGGGTCTGCATGTGGGTATGTGCCCACAGGTGCTAGTGCCCTCGGAGGAGGCTAGACGCGTCAGATTCCCCTGGATCTGGAGTTTCAGGCAGTTGTGAGCCACACAGCATGAGCTGAGGTCTTCTGCAAGAGCAGGGCAGTCCCATGGCTTTCATTTTGATATTGACTCAGTGTACTGTACTGTTTTTTTGTTGTGCTAGCCTCCCCTTCCCGTGTGTGTGTGTGTGTGTGTGTGTGTGTGTGTGTTGTGTGTTTCAAGGAATTTTTCATGTAGATCAGACTGATCCCAGATTCTTTGGAGCTGAGGATAACTTCCACCTCCATCTCCCAAGTGCTGAGACCGTAGCTGTGACTTACCACCTGGTTCACACAGTGCTGGGTCTCAACCTGGGGCTTTGTGTGCTCTGGGTGAGCATTCTACCAACTGAGTTGTGTCCTTGATTCCCAGGGTTATCTTTTTATAAAAATGTTCCTGATAGAGGTGAACCCTGAGTCACCTCTCCAGCCCCTTCAGACAGTTTTAAAACAGACAAGATGACTGGGGTTTTGTTGTTGTCGTCTCATCTTGTTTTTCAAGACAGGGTTTCTCTGTGTAGTCCTGGCTGTCCCGAAACTAGTTCTGTAGACCAGGGTGGTCACGAACTCAGAGATCTGCCTGCCTCCGCCAGGATGGCTGTTTTAAAATCTTCTCCCTTTGTACTGTCCCTCTCAGGTTACTGTGAACAGTACCATACATGATACATTATTTAGTTTTGTCTTAACTGTATATACACACACACACACACACACACACACACACACATTATATATTTGTGCCTGTGGAAGCAGACATTACTTTTAAGTGAGTATGTATGTTTTGTTCTTTTATCTTAATGTGTCATGCTTGACATATTTTTAATTGAAGTCCAAAAAGAGCACACATTGCTATTTAGGTTGATGAGTTGTCGGTAACTGAGGAAACCCCAGGGATGACTCAATTCAAGAGCAGGGACTAGTGTTGCATACTCCAATCCCTGGCACTTGGCCGGTAATGCTGGAGGATTGGGGGTTCAAGATCATCTTCTGCTACTTGCTGAGTTTGAAGCCACCCTAAAAGAAAGGAAGAAAGAAAGAAAGAAAGAAAGAAAGAAAGAAAGAAAGGAAGAAAGAAAGGAAGAAAGAAAGAAAGAAAAGAAGAAAAGCCCAATTGTGGTCATACACTTTTAATCCTAACCCCTTTGATGGGGTAGGAGGAGCTAAGACAGACTGATCTCTATGAATTCAAGACTGACCTGGAAAAAAAAAGTGGTAAAAAAAAAAAAAAAGACTAGCCTGGTCTACATAGCTCTAGACTTGCCCCACCCCACTCCCCCATTCAAAACCAAAAAATGTCAAGTGACTCCGGAACATTCTTAATCTAAGTTTCCTCGTTCTTCCATCACTGCCTCCCACGATTTGTCTGCAGCCTGATACATAACAGAGTAGTTTTGTCTGCTTTAAAACTCTATGAAGGGGTTGGAGAGATGGCTCAGCAGTTAAGAGCACTCGCTGCTCTTGCAAGAACGGGAGTCCAGTTCCCAGCTCCCACATCAGACAGCTCACAACCACATGTAACTCCAGCTCCAGGTGATAGAACACCCTAGCCTCTAAAGCTCCTCAGCTCGCAAACACTTACAGACACAGATACCTGCACATAACTAAAATAAAAACACATCTTAAAAAGTACTCTGTGCGGGGCTGGAGAGATGGCTCAGAGGTTAAGAGCACTGGCTGCTCTTCCAGAGGTCCTGAGTTCAATTCCCAGCACCCACATGGTGGCTCACAACCATCTGTAATAAGACGTGATGTTCTCTTCTGTACTGCAGGATACATGCAGGATGAACCCAGTGTACATAATAAATAAAAGTCTTTTAAAAAAGTACTCTGTGTACATGGCCTCATGGATTGTGTCAAGTCTCTTTTGTTCCTCTTTTCATGTTATTTTACGCTTCCTCCCTTTTTGTTGCTGTATTATCTTTCCTTATGTGCTAGCGTATAATTTGTTAATCAATTTTCTTACAATGGACAGTTGAGTTGCCTTTTAAAAAATGTTTATTATTTATTATGTATACAATATTCTGTCTACGTGTATGCCTGCAGGCCAGAAGAGGGCACCAGACCTTATTACAGATGGTTGTGAGCCACCATGTGGTTGCTGGGAATTGAACTCAGGACCTTTGGAAGAGCAGGCAATGCTCTTAATCTCTGAACCATCTCTCCAGCCCCTTGAGTTGCTTTCTTGATTCTGTTAGCCGGGTGGTAGTGTGCATGCCTTTAATCCCAGCACTTGGGAGGCAGAGGCAGGCAGATCTCTGTGAGTTTGAGGCCAGCCTGGTCTACAAGAGCTAGTTCCAGGACAGGCTCCAAAGCTACAGAAAAACCCTGTCTCGAAATAAACAAACAACAAACAAACAAACAAACAAACAAAACCACAGTAGATTTCAGGGCTGGAAGAATGGCTCAGTGGTCCTCCTGAGCACCTAAGTTCAATTCCCAGTACCCACATGATGGCCCCAAACTGGCTATATTAACTCTAGTTCTAGTTCTAGGAACCCAGTGCTCTCTACTGGCCTCTGAGGGACCAAGCATGCACAGAATAGTCGTATATACATGCAGGAGGAACTGATATGTTTTGCCAGGAGAGGACTGTTTTGTTCTTAGAGAAACTCCTGTAGCTTAGGCTGTCCTTGAACTTGCAATGTAACAGAGAAGGATGACCTTGAATGCCTTTTCACCTTCCAAGTGCTGGGATTCCACCACTCCCCCAAATGCATTTGTTCTTACCATGCCCGGATGGAACCTATAGCCCGCACATTCCAGTGGGTACTCTCTTGCTGAGCCCTGCTGGGACTACTCAAACATTCCACTCTTGGTGAACACAAAACCTTCAGTTCTGTAGGGCAGTTTCCAGGAGTAGAATAAATGGGTCATAGGAGAATGATTCTGCCAACCTAGTACTTTAAGTGGGTTCACTGAAGCGGCACTTTCGGGAGAGTATGTTTGATCCTTTCATTTTCATTGAAAGTGTCCGCAGCAGGTGTCTTTGTACGTAGCCCAGAAGGCCTACTTTAGTTTTCCCATCAAATGAATTGCCTTGGTTTGGTACTCCCTCTCTTCCCGGCTCTTTGCCTTCCTATGTCTCCTGCTATGTCTCCCACCATGTCTCAAGCAGTGCAGTCCTTCAATGATACAGAGCCCTCCCCTTCTCTTCATTTCCCCTAGCACCTGCTTAGCCCCCGGTGTGAAAGTGTCTCTAGGCCCCGAGGATGCAGAAAAGCCCCCAAGAGAGGGACGGGAAAGGGCTTTGGGGTGAACACTCAGCCTTCCAGGCCCTCTAGATGACCACCCCTAAGACCATTGATGACCACAAAGGAAGAGCCTTCTGAGTCAAAGAGCAGAAACCCACAAGGGGAAAAGCTTGATAGCATCGGAGTAGATATCTTTCCACAAGGCACCACGGGACCAGTATTAACTGGCCACAGGGGAAAGGTGTTTGCGATGTTTAAAGCCGGTCAGGAAGTGTCTCAAAGGAAACGAGAACAGCTGTAGGTCAAGACAGCAGGATGGCAACTCCAGCAGAAAATCGGGCACTCAGTTGCTAGTTGGGCGGTGGTGGCACACGCCTTTGATTCCAGCACTTGGGAGGCAGAGGCAGGTGGATCTCTGTGAGTTCAAGGCCAGTCTGGCCTACAGAGCTTGTTCCAGGACAGCCAGGACTGTTACACAGAGAAACCCTGTCTTGAAAAACCTAAATAAATGAATAAATAAGAGTGCTTGCTGCCCAAGCATGAGGTCCTCAATTTGGATCCCCAGCACCCATAGAAAAAGCTGGGTTAGTGGTTCAAACACTTTCACCGTGGTTAAGAGCCCCTGCCGCTCTTGCAGAGGACCAGAGTTCAATTCTCCACCGCACCCATGTCAGGGCCTTCACAGTGGCCTGTAATTCCAGCTCCAGGGAAGGGGGTGCAACATCCTCTTTTTTGGCTTCCAAGGGCACCCACACAGATCACACACACACACACACACACACACACACACACACACTTTTTTTTTAAAAGCTGAGTGTGGTGGCTGGGGAGATATCGCAATGGTTATAATTTTATTTTTTTTTTTGAGGATAACAAGCTTGCACTAGATTGGATCCCCAGAACCCACATAAATGTTGGGTGGATGTGGAAGCTTTCTTGTCATTCTAGAGCTCAGAAGGCAGAGATGCGAGTCTCCAGCAAGCCTGTCATCTCACCACTTGGGAGACTGAGGCAGGAGCATCAGGTATTTGAGGCTAGCTCAGGCTACTTAGTGACCCTGGGGCTCGCGGGCCATCTAACCTATCCTCACAGTGAGCTCCAGGCCAGCTGAA